TTAATAACTTATTTTCTATTATTTGATTACAATATTGAATGTTAAATAAAAATATTAAAAATCAAATTTATAAGACCATAAAATATTTAAACTCTTTAACCAATTATTATAAAAATATTTAGAATTACGAAAAAAAAAATATAAAAACGACAGATTGCATGGCAGTTGATGGTGACCGATAGTAATTAATTACTAGTAATCTATAATATAGTCATTACCAATAATTAATAATAGTGATCAATAGATTAATATAAATATTAAAATATATATTTATAAAGTTATAATAAATTTGGCGATGTTTATAAACATTTTTCTCTTTTGAGAATGAAAATCATATCTTTAAAAGAAAAATAATTTTTCTCCGAGTGGAAAAACGTTTTTCATTAATTGATATTTTCTCAGCACTTCAAGTATAAAATATCTAAAAAGTTCAAACCTTTTGTGTCATTTTTTAAACTATGCATTGTATTACATCTGACTAATATATGTATTAAAAACAAATAACAAAGAGAGAATACTGAACTCTCGCTTTTGTTCATAATTTGATGTCTTAGAAATTGTCACATTTGGATTTATTTGCAAATGGTGGCATTGTTGGTCAATGTTTTAAATTGGAAATTAATTTTGATGTCTTAGAAAATTTGTTCACATTTGGATTTAATTTGCATAATGGTGGCATTTGGTCAATGTTTTATAATTGGAAATATATATATATATATACTATATATTATCTATATATACTATATATATATATATATATATATAGATATCATAACATTATAATGTTTTAATAGGAAAAATATTATTAATGACTTCAAATTGGTTAGAAATGATCATGTACCATTCACGTTTTTGATCTACAGTGTGCTCATAAACCCATTGCTGAGAGAATCAACTGACGAATTGAAAATGATCTTTTCATTTTTTTAATTTCTTTTTTTTAAAGAGAAGAATCCGCAAACAAGAAAAAAAAAGAATTTAATTATATATAATATGTCGAGTGAGAGTGAGTGTGGGGGGGCTTATGCAACTCTGCTATCTTTAATTATGTAATAATCTATCATTCCTCTCTCTCACTTTTTACGTCGAGTGCGAGGCCTCAGTCGGTGCACTGTGAGCCTCTACACAACTCTTATAAATTATAATGTATAATAGAAAAATATATTAATTGGAACTTCAAATTGGTAGAAATGATCATGTACTCTTCACGTTTTTGATCTACAGTGTGCTCATACCCATTGCTTAGAGAAATAACTGAGAATGAAATGATCTTTTCATTTTTTTAATTCTTTTTTTTAAAGAGAAGAATCCGCAAAAAAAAAAAAAAAGAATCTCGTTAAAATATAAAAAATAAATAGATTTTATTCTTTTTCATATATCAATATTTATAAAATTGAAAATTATTATAATTCAAAATATTTACCTCAATATGTGAGTGACTTAAATTGAAAATGAAATAGACTTGAGCTTTATTCACTTCAAAGGCTAATTCTATAATTGTATTCTGGTGGAGGTCCGATGACTAATAGGTCATGGGTTCAATTGACATTCCCGCCAATAAATTATCTGTAATTGCATATTGTCTCGTATGGGTTAAACTTCGCTTATTGGGCTTTGATTTATTTCTAAAAATTTAATTGTATTAAGGCTAACTCTAAGGGAAGAGGACTAAAGAAGTCTTACATATATAGCTTAAACTCTTTCCCTTCCATCTCTTGAGAGAGAATGCTTTGAAAGCGGGCTTTGAAGTCGACTAAGTATCCCGAATCAATGTGAGTCAATAAAAATAAATAATTCCTCACTAGAAAAAGCTATAGGATTAAGAAATTAGTTAAATTGAAATTTTTCCAATTTTTTTGCCCATAATACCCTCAGTCAGCTTTAAATACATAATTAATGACGAGGAAGCCAACTTATTGTTATAGTATTTCAAGGGTGCATTTATTACTCAAAACCTCTGAGGATTATAATAGTCTTCTCAAATTCAAATTCTGTAGATTTACATCGTTTTTAAAAATAGAGGCACTAGTAAGCAAAAAGTTGTCTTCGTACACGACGAACTCATTTTCTTCATACGCCAAGTTCAAAAAGAAGGGCATTGAGTTTGTTCGCTATAACGAAAATTTATGCTCATATTAGTAACGCGCAGTGTTGATTTAAAGACAAATTTTAAAGGTAAGATACAATAATACAAATCTGTGATCGTACTATGAAAACTTTTCAAGAAAAATAGACATAGTCATATCTATATGTGTAAAGTTGAGCTTACTTCTATATAACGCGTATAGAAATGGTCCACGAAAAAATTTCAATTCAGTTTGTTCGATAAATTTTAAATTTGTGTCCATATGTGTGAAGACTTTTTTATTATTAGCGCACAACAATTAAAATGTGTAGGCTGTATTGAGTTATTTGGCCCATGCAATACTCTTATTTGTACTCAAATTCATAAACGTACCAATTACTCATGCTTTGGAAATTTAAGATAATTAATTGCTCTGAGAAATTTAAGCTCATTAATTGCTCAACCCACATTTTGTTTGCCACTATTTTTGTTAATTAAACTGAAATAGAAGCAGTAAGATAGGTTATTGAAGGGCATTTTAGAATTTTCTTTTGACATCCTTTTTAAATTTTCATTTAGAGTAAAATTCTCTATATAAAATAAATACCTAAAATGAAAATTTTCTCTAAAGTAAGAAAACTAAGGGAGTATATCTTTTAAGTTAAATAAAATTCATTAGTATTTTTTACCTTTTTTGTTTAAATTATAGGCCTTTATTCATTTTTTTTTCTTTTGAGGATAGCCTTTATGATTATGCCTTTGCCAAGATTTGCAAATTACACTGATTTTATATTGCTAATTTGCAACTCTAAGTTGAGCTAATTCCAAAAAATCTAAAAATATGTTTTTCTAATTCTAGCATATTATTTGTGCTTGTTGCTTTACTGCCTTCTTCTTTCTCTGTAGATTAGACACCTCTGAATATTATTAATGAGAATTGAAGAAATCAAGGAGATGAAATCAAGGAAGCTAACAATAATTAGCTCAAGCATATGAAAATTCAGTTGAAGCTGATGCTAGTTCAAAGAAAATTTGGATTTGTGGTTTCAATTTGGTTGATTTTTATTAGCTGTGGCTATAGTCATACAAATATTTTATATGAATCAAATTTTATGGATACAAATGTCTACCCTCTCTCTTTTTCTTTCTACTCTATCTATAACCCACCCACCTTTGATGACCGGTGCAAGCTGCTATCAGTGACTCTTCACGGCAGTGGCCATCTCTCTTCCTTTTACTTTTCTGTTTCATTTTTCTTTGTTTCTTTTTATAATTTTCTCCGCCCTCAGGGCCCTATCCAAGGTTTATCCCTTTTTGTCATAGGTAAATCTATGGATCTATTTTTTTTTTTTTGTGCAGATCTATATATGGGGTACCCACTAGAGGAGTACTTGTTCATAAATCTTTTTACGAGTTCATATATCTCACTCCAAGAGGCCATAAGGGTGCTATAACACTATGGAAGACTGGTGATTTAGAGAAGCTTCTTCTCCCTCCCTCTATCACCAAATTACTCAGACAATCTTTGGTTTACTACTGGCCAGCTCAAATTTGGAATTTAAGAGTTTCTCCCAAGATCCACGCTCTAAATTCAACAATGATGGTGGTGGTATATATAACGATGTCTATGGCCTTTTTCCTTTCATTGCTACTATTGTATGAGTTTGAGATTTTTCTTAATAGTTTCATTTATTCTGGATCTTATATTTTAAACTTGATTTAATCAGGTTTACTTATGTACCTCTACTTATTTTTCTTTTTTGAATTTTTTATTTTCAATAGGTGTTCTCTTCTTTCTTTTTCATATTTGGATCACCATAACATAATTAAAATGGAGGCCAAACTTTTTTTGAATTAAATCATTTGTGAGATTGATTCATTTGAAAAGTTTACCAAGCTAAGTTTGAAATTGGTGGTTATACTCGCTAAATTTAAGTTTGAATTTGAGTCAATAAGCAAGCTACAGACTATTTTTGAACTATAAATTGCAAATGAAACAAATTTAAACTTAAATTTTCAAGTTTGAATAAAGCTCCAGTAGTATTTGAGCTTGACTAATTATAACCCATGGTTGTTACTAAATGCGTAGAAGTTTGATGTAATAAAATTAGTGGTGTAAGCTTATGACAACAAAATAAAACTGTATGACAATGAGGTGTGATTTGATTAGTTTTTTTTTAATAAATGAAAAGTGAGATGTCTCAATTTGGTGAGTCAAAAGAGGGTACTCCTATTATGTAGCCTATTGTGTCGTTTTACCCACTGCATCTTTTGATGAACAAAAGAAATTTATAATTAATTAAATAAAATTTTATAATTTTATATTTTTTTTTATTTTTTGGAAATAATTTAATTTTAATACTCATAATCATTATTTTAGTGTAAAATTATGATCTAAAATTTAGAAATATTAGAAAGATATTTGCAATAAGAATATTTAAATATAAATATAATACTTTTTTTTTTTTGAGAAAAGATTTAATTTTATATATCATTTGTTCGGTCATATTTCCATATTGCAAAGTGAAAATTATATACCAAATAATTTCAATTTGATTAATTATATGGCTTTTGCCTTTTGGCTATTTTTGGGGTGTTGTTGGTGAACAAGTACAAAGTCAAGCAAGCATACATGTTATTTAGGCTACAATTTTGTGAATCTTCTTTACAAATTCATTACATTTATTTCAAAATACAGTGCTCCCTTAACCACATGTCTTGTCAAAATCAAGTGGGCCTCATAAAAAAATCAACGGTCAAGATTGAATTGTGGTTAGGTGGGCTTTATGTAGGACCGTTAGATCAAGACTCATGGTCCATCTAGTCGTGATCTAAGTACATGCACATTATGCTTGATGGACCTCATGTCCATATCCAACTCCCAATTTTTTTTTTAATCTTTTTTAGGTTTCTCTTTTGACTTTCCCTTCCCCGATTTCAACTCATAACAGAATTCCTTTCCCCCATATAAGGCCTCGAAATTTTTTTAGCCCTAGACGTAGCTTTTAGGTCCAGTTTAGAGATTTTAATTTCAAAGCTCAAAACTTGAGAAGCAAGTTCCAAACAACACTTCGAAGCTGAAGCCCATTAGCTTCATCTCTCTGTTGCAGAGAAATTCGATTTTTTTTTTTCGAATCCTTGGAAAATTTAAAAATTTTAAGATTAGATTTGTTTTCGCGGGTAGATTATCGGTCCTTTGTTTGATTCACTCCACTATAGATCTGTTAATCCAGGTACAGTTTATTGTCTTTAATATTGCTTTTTTCTAATTTAATTATGCATATCTTCTTTTTCAAGAACTATCATGTCTTGTTTGTAGTTAGTTCGTTTGCGTGTTTCTCGTGATTTTGGGATTTGTAATTCTTGCTCTATCGCGTTTTGGTTTTTGTTTGTGTTGCCGTTTCGGGTCCATTTGGTATCTGGGTTTTGCTTAGATCGTTCAATTTAGCACTCCTGAACGTCAAACTGCAGTTTGTATCAATATTTTATAAAGTTTTTGCAGGTTTTTTGTGTTTGTATTGTCAATTTAATTCGTATTCTTGTTGGGATATTGGTAATTGTTCTATAACATTTACAATTGACTACTTATTTGTAGCTATAGTTGTTGGATTGTTGATTTGTTAGTTCGTCGAATAATTTGCGATATGTAATTGCAGAATAGCGTTAACCTTTTGTTTCATACATTACCTTTTCTAGTCATCTGTACTGGTGATGCACTTGCTTCGAACTTTGTGTTTGAAGAAGAATTGTGTAAAGAGGAGTAATCATATTCAAGCTTTGGATGGAGTTGTTTGTTCGAAGATTTTTTTTTAGTATTGTTCATGTTGGATGGGCTTCTATTTAGTGGCCCAGATCTAACTATTATCGTCAGGCCTTTAGCTCAAAAAATTCAAGGGGCTTCTTCTAACCGAAAGCAATGAAAAATCTCTAGCTGCTTATCCATAGGTGCTTTGTTAAAAGCATCTAGCAAGGTGCTTTTTTTATGTCTTTCAGGTCAAATTTGGAGTCTTATTTTCTGTTACTTGCTTGATTAGAAGCAATATTGTTTCCAGAAACATCAACAGTCATTTGCGCCAAAATAAGAAAAAAAAAAAAAAAAAAAGAAAATTATTTTCTGTTACTTGCTTGTAGAGCATATTGGTTTCCAAAACATCAACAGTATTTGCGCCAAAAATAAGGAAAAATAAAAAAAAAAAAAAAAGCAAGGTGCTACATGCCTACAAACAAAAAAAAAAAAAAAAAAAAAAAGCAAGGTGCTACATGCTACAAACTGGAAAAAGTGTGGAGAATGAAGCTGTTTCTTGACTTAAGGGTACTTGAGTTGCATTTGGGTGAACAGTGATTTTTGGACTTTACTCCACAATAAAGTACTATTAATCTAGAAATGGTTTCAGAACAATATTACATAAAACTGGAGTATAGTGCTTTGCAGTTTTGGACCATGCAATTCATCGACTGTAAGATGTTCCAGTCTTAGATTTTAAGCACTTTTGTTGCTTTAAACATGGTAGTTTGACACTCTCAGTTATCAGTGTCATATTCCAAATGAATTCTATATTGTCTTATTCCCTTTCTCACTGGGATAATCTACCTGTTATTTTTGTTTTGATTATCTTCTAAGTAGTTTGATGCAATGAATAATTTACATCGTTTTTGTTCCTAATTTTTGTTGGCAGGGGTATTGGTTGCAAAGAAAAATAATTTTGGATATTATTTCTTTATTGTTTAAAATTATTGCCATCCTAAATTTTTGCAATTGTTCTAGCTTACATTGATTGTCTTTTTTTTTTTTTTTCACTTTTAAGTGTTTCTTAAATGCCAGGTAGGCTATTTTAAGTCACACATGGTCAGCATGTTTTATTAAATTATGCAACTCTAAAGAAATTTCAATCCATTCATATACTTCAAACTACGGAAAATGAATTACATTGGCAGGCTTTATAAGTTTTAGATCCTCGATGCATGTAAGTCAAAAGTAGTGTTTAGGAAAAGTCCGACCATATTCCAAGTCCTTAATACTTGATTGTGAAATGAACTTAGCAAGGCACTAGGCAGCAAGCAAATGTCTGACTTTAGGTGCAATGTTTGGAATTCGTCATGTTATAGTGCTTAGAAGTATGTCGGGAGCTAACTTTCTACTGTGTGTACTCCAACTTTGTCTATCAGTTGGTAATTAAACATAATCTGAGACATATTAGATCACTAGTTATGCATGTTTCAGATAAAAACTTCTCTTTGCTGGTTATTATTGAAGTATAACTCTATCTTTTTACATACGTTTATAATGTGTATCTATGCAGTGCCTTCTCTTCTAACCATAAACCATGTAGTAATGATGGATTTGTCATTTTGTTTTGCTATATTAAGCTTTAATTGAATTGACCTCAGAAGCTATCATTTTGCCTTTGAACAATTTTTATTTTTAGCAAGCATGTTGCACTGCTGAATGCTGGATGTTTTTCCCCTTGTTTTCTTAAAATTTGAAAATATTCTACCAAGACTGCAATGAATGGTCGCTCATAATTGATTTATCGTCTGTTATTATTGCCCTTCTCTGTTACTGAATTTTATCTTTTGTTGTAGGATTATGACTTCTATGGATATAGACTCCCCTTCAACCCCAAATATGGCTATTACTCCTGTTATGCCTGCTGATAACAGTGAAGCACCCATTTCTGAGGAGCAACCCAATAGACGTAGGAGAAAGAAGTCAATTGTCTGGGAACACTTCACTATAGAAACTGTTGGTGCTGGATGTATGAGGGCATGCTGCAAACAGTGCAAGAAATCATTTGCTTATATAACTGGTCCAAAGCTAGCTGGAACCAGCCACCTCAAGCGGCACATTGCCTTGGGGATCTGCCCAGTAAGCCGTCAGAAAAATGAAGCATCACCGTTGACACCTGGTGCAAAAAGTGATCCACCTAAAAGGCGCTACCGATCATCTCCTGGATATGGAAACATTCCCTTTGATCAGGATCGTTGCAATCAAGAGATAGCCAAGATGATTATACAGCATGAATATCCGTTGCACATAGTGGAACATCCTGCTTTTATTGATTTTGTCCGGACCCTTCAACCCCAGTACAATATGCCAAGTTTCAACACCATTCAAGGGGAATGCGTGTCAATTTATCTGAGAGAAAAGCAAAGCCTTTTGAACCTTATCAGTGGGATTCCTGGACGAGTCAACCTTGCATTGGATTTGGGGACTTCAAACCTTGATACTGGCTATGCTTTTCTAACAGGGCACTTCATTGATGATGACTGGAATTTACATCGTCGGATCCTTAATGTTGTCATGTTACCTTTTCCTGATTCCGATTATGCCTTAAATCAAGCTGTTGTGTCTTGTCTATCTGATTGGCATTTGGAGAGCAGGTTATGTTCGCTTACACTAGATCAATCCTTTTCGAATGAAACCGTAATGGGAAATCTGAGAAGCCTCCTGTCTGTCAAGAACCAACGTTTGTTCAATTGTCAGTTACTGAAAGGGAATTGCTATGCTCGTGTTTTAAGCCGTCTTGCACAAGATGCACTTGGATCTATGGGTGAAGTTATTGGGAAAGTCCGTGAAAGTGTGAAGTATGTGAAAACCTCCGAAACACATGATGAGAAGTTTGCAGAGCTGAGGCAACGACTTCAAGTCCCTAGCACAAAGGAGCTCATAATTGATGATCAAACCAAATGGAACACAACGTACCAAATGCTGGTGGCTGCCTGTGAATTAAAGGAAGTATTTGATTGCTTGGACACCTCGGATCCTGTTTACAAGATAAACCCCTCAATAAATGATTGGAAGCAGGTGGAGATTCTCTGCAGATACCTGAAGCTTTTATATGATGCGGCTGGCATCTTAACTTCCCCAATATATCCACCTGCCAATGCATTTTACCATGAAGTGTCCAAAATCCAGTTAGAGCTGACTCGTTTAGCTATGAGCCAGGATCCTTTCGTCAGCAGCCTGACTAAACCTTTGAAAGAGAAGTTTGATCAATATTGGAAGGATTCCTTCCTTGTTTTGGTAATTGCTGTGGTCATGGATCCAAGGTTTAAAATGAAGCTTGTTGAGTTCAGTTTCTCAAAGATCTTTGGTGAGGATGCTGGTATGTGGATCAAGATTGTTGATGACGGGATTCATGAACTCTTTCTAGATTATCTTCCACCAAATCTGTCTGTTACTACTTTTATGCAACCAGAAGATATGGTCATCCCTCAAACAGAGATGCTCCAAGATGTAGGACCCCAGGACCAGGAAGCACACTTTCAAGACCTTCAATTGGTACACTCTGTAGATGTGCCTACTCAAGAAGTCCACTCTCAAGGAGCAACAGTTCAAGATATAAAGCTTGAAAAAGAAACTCCACAAGGGCACCTGAATGAACCTTCACAAGATGTGACTCCTCAAGTATTGCACCATCAAGAAGTAGCACAAGAAGAGATGCACACTCAAGAAATACCAGCGCAGGAGATGCAGATTCAGGAGTTAGCATTGCAGGAGATGGATAGTCAACAACTACAAATTCAGGAAAATGTCACCCATGAAGCATCAGTACAAGAGTTGAGCACTCAAGAAACATCAGAGCATGAGATGCACATTGATTATCAATTACCATTGCAAGACACAGACGCTCAAGAAGTATCACCACAAGCGATGAACAGTCAAGAAATGCCTGCTCCAGAGCCACATGTGCAAGGATTAGCTGCTCAAGAGGCACATGTGCAAGAACTACCTGCTCAAGAGGTGCACTTACAAGAAGTACCTGATGAAGGGATGCATGCTCAAGAAGTACCAACACAAGACATGCTTCCACAAGAAGTAGGGGTCCAACTGGTACACCATTCAGAAGTGGTGGCTCAAGATATGAATCCTTCAGAAGCACATAGCCATGAGATGCACACAGAAGCAGAGACTCCAGAGATGCACCCTCCGGAAACACAGTCCCAGGAGATGCATACTCCAGAAGCACAAACTCAAGAGATGGACTCTCCAGAAGCACAAACTCAAGAGATGCACTCTCCAGAAGCACAGACCCAAGAGATGAACCCTCCTGAAGTAAAGGCACAGGAGATGTGCTCTCAAGAAGCACAACTTCATGAGACGCAACCTCAAGAGGCTGCATCTCAAGAGATGCAACATCACGAAGTACTGTCTCATGAGACACATCCTGAGGAAGTATTGACTCAAGAGATGCATCCTCAAGAAGTACAGACTCAGGATCTGCTCCATCAGGAAGGGCAGTCTCAGGAGACGCACCATCATGAAGCACAGAGTCAGGAGATGCACTATCATGAAGGACAGACTCAGGATATGGACCATCATGAAGTACAGGATCCGGAGATTCGCCACCATGAAGTACAGGCTCAAGAGATGCACCACCATGAAGTACAGGCTCAAGAGATGCACAAGATGCACCACCATGAAGTACAGGCTCAAGAGATGCACCACCATGAAGTACAGGCTCAAGAGATGCACCACCATGAAGTACAGCGTCAGGATATGGACCATCATGAAGTACAGGCTCCGGAGATTCACCATCATGAAGTACAGGCTCCGGTGATGCACCATCAAGAAGTACAGATTCAAGAGATGCACCACTGTGAAGTACAGGCTCCAGAGATGCACCATCAAGAAGTAGAGACTCAAGAGATGCACCATCCAGAATTTTCTCAAGAAATGCAGCCTTATGAAGTGAACCATCAAGATTTACCTTTGCTTTCTACTATTGGAGATGGCTACTCCGATTTTGAAGTATATATCTCTGCAACAAGTAACCAACATTTAAAATCAGAATTGGATCAATATCTGGAGGAGTCTCTTCTGCCTCGAGTTCATGATTTTGATGTATTGGGTTGGTGGAAACTGAACAAACTGAAGTATCCCACTCTGTCCAAGATGGCTGCTGATATTTTGTCAATTCCAATATCTACTGTTGCTCCTGACTCTGTGTTTGATACTGGAAGTAAAAAGATAGATAGCTACCAGAGTTCATTGCGACCAGTGATACTTGAAGCCCTTATTTGTGCCAAGGATTGGCTCCAATATGGTTCATCAGCATCATCATTAGATGTTTCTAATGCCCTTGTGAAGATGGAACATTAGGTATGTTAGATAGGAGTTAGTTTTCCCCCAACCGGGTAGATACTTTGATTTGGTTTGGTTTTTTAGGCTTGTGTTTTTATTTTTAACTTTTTTTTTTTTTTTCTTTTCTACTCTTTATCATAAGATGCTTGGTCAGGATTTTGTTGCTACTTGCTACTAAAGGAATTTGTGTTGATCTTGGATTCAGGAATTACTTGTGAGATCTAATGCTTTTTCTCATTTGCACTGTTCCGTTTCAATTCTAAATTCTGATATGCAGTCTTTGTCCTGACCTCAGCCCCCACTTTTTTTATGATGCTTTTAGAGCTGTACTTTACAGGTGGTCTTTTTTTTTTTTTTTCCCCTTCATGGTCTTCACATAGATATGTTGATTGGCTAGCATGTTCCATAGTTTCAGAAATCGAGTTGTAACGTCAGTCCTATGGAGAATTTTTGGTTCTCTGGAGTTCAGAATCTCATTTGGCAAAATTTACCCTGTGATGGGAAACTTTCATCTGCATATGGAATGGCATTTTACTGATTTGTAATTTATAGGAAACTAGTGTTATCGTAATGGAATGGGTAGCAAAACAAAGGAAGCAAGACCAAATATGGACGCAAGGCTGATTGATGTGGTATGTTAAATTGAGTTTTAAATCCATGTCAATCTCTTAGCGAAACAAATATACTTGGACAATTTTGACAGTAGTTTTGACATTTGAAATCCAAGAAAGATAGTTTGATCTCTTGTGATCTTTTAGAAAGTTATGAAGACATTGTATTAAGAAGATTATCAGAGAAGCTTTTATTTCCTAGCGGGAAGAGAACAATTTGGTCACAAGTATAAAGAATAAAACGATAGAATAAACCATTCCGAGCAAATTACATGACAGCAACATCAGCAGTTATTTCCGTTTGGCAACAGAAGCCTACATCTAAGTCGCTCTGTTCCTCATAAGCCTCATGATCACCATCATCTGGAACATATCCAGCTCGCTTCATCTGCTGTGTGAGGATTTTCAATAACAAATAGATCTCCTTCTTTTGAGGGTGTCTCTTATCTTTCACCATGAAAACATGCACATGACCCAGAACTTCAATCCAGCTGCAACCAGGCTGTTTAGCGACTCCTCTATGCCTCATCAGTTTTCTTACTCTTACCACATCCTTCCATCTGCCAAGCTCCGCATACATATTTGAGAGAAGAACATAAGGTCCAGAGTTTGTAGGGTCAATTTCCAAGAGCTTCTCGGCAACATACTCCCCTAAGGTAATGTTGTGATGAACTTTACAAGCACCAAGCAAAGATCCCCAGACAACGGCATCAGGGGGCATAGGCATTGTCTCTATGAAATTTTTTGCTTCATCGAGGCAACCAGCACGACCAAGCAAATCAACCATGCATGTATAATGATCTTTGCTTGGTACCAAATCATATTCCTCAGTCATCAAGGAAAAGTAATGTCGGCCCTCTTTCACAAGCCCTGCGTGACTACAAGCACACAGAGCACCAATCATAGTAACATGGTCTGGTTTCTCCCCAGATCCTAACATTTTCCTAAATAGTTCAAGGGCCTCCATTCCATAACCATTTTGGGCATATCCTACTATCATTGCATTCCACGAGACATAATCCCTCTCCACCATATTTTCAAAAACTCGACACCCTTCCTCAACTGATCCACATTTCATGTACATGTCAATGAGGGCATTCCCTACAAAAACATCAGGATCTTCACCAGCTTGAAACTGAAACCCATGCTTCAAAACATGAGTGTGCGCCTGTCTGCCAAGCTGTAGATCAGCAAGATTCGAGCAGGCATTCAATAGGTTCCCAAATGTGTAATGTGTTGGGCAGATGGCTTCCCTCTTTAGCATGCGGAAGAGTCCAAGTGCTTCTTCATTCTCCCCATTTTGTGTATATCCTGCAATAAGGGCATTCCAAGAGATTACATTCCTCTCCATCATCTTTGTAAATACTAATCTTGCTGCTTTAAAGCTTGCTGCCTTGGCATAACCACTAACCATGGAGGTTTCAGAAACCACACTCCTCATAGGCATCGTATCAAAAAGATGTCTAGCTTCATTAATTCTACCACACTTTGCATACATATCAACCAATGCGTTGCCTAATATAAGATCATCCCTAAATTTATCACATTTCACCACACAGGCATGAATTTCTAAACCTTGTTTAATTGCAGCCAAGCTTGCACAAGCACTCACCACACTAGCCAGTGTAACCTCATCCGGTTTAAGCCCACTTTCTATCATCCTCTCAAAAATTTCTAAAGCCTTCCTTGCAGGATCATTTTGTTCATAACAAGTAATCAAGCTATTCCAAGAAACAACATTCCTCTCCTTCATCCCGTCAAAAACCTTTTGAGCACAATCCACAACCCTGCATTTGGAATACATGTCAATAAGCGCAGAGCCCATATAAACATCCCATGAGAACTGAGATTTCAACATTAAACAATGAATTTGCGTACCCATTTTCAGGTCCTTTAACCCTGAACAAGCACTTAGACCACTACCAAATGAATACTCATTGAGCACGAAGCCCTCCCCATGCATCCTAACAAAACAATCCAAAGCTTCTTCAAACCGATCATGCTGTGCAAAGCCAGCAATGATTGAATTCCAAGAGCACTGGTCAGCATGAGGCATGGACGAAAACAACCGTGCTCCCTCATCAATAAAACCAGATTTCATCAAGGTACTAGAAATGGAGTTCCAGGTAAAAGTATTCCTCTCTGGCATTTTATCAAACACCTTGCGCGCATCATCCAAACAACCGCACTTGCCATATGAATCGATAAGCCTATTCTGTATGAAAACTTCAGTTGCGAATTGGGTTTTGATGATGCGTGCATGTATGCGACGTGTGTCACTGGCAGACTGGGATTTGACACATGAATCCAAGAGCTTTGCAAAATGAGAAGAGTCGAGGAAAGAGAGGTCACCAATGGCTTGCTTAACTTTAGTGACACCATGTCTATTCATTCATTATCGTCGTAGACGAAGAAGGTCTGGAGTTTTGAATTCAAGCTCCCGCCTTTTCTTGCACTTTGGTGTTTATGGGAACTGGTAACAACGTATAAGAAGAAGATAAGATGCTAAAAGCTTAAAAATATGCAAATAGGAGTAGATTACTAGTTAAAAGTGGTATGCAAGAAATTACTATCATTTTGCCCCTCAACTTGTGCCTAATATATAAAAGCCCCATAAATGAACTTTTCAGCCAAATAATTGTAGAATTCCATGTGAAAATATAAGCAAAATTACCATAAGTGTACAAGTTCTAGAGTTATTTGGCTCAAAAGTTCATTTATGAGTTTTTTTTTTAATATATATATATTTAGAGCAAGCTTAGCTAATTTAAAAAAAAAAAAAAAATTAATTTCGATATTTGATTGGCATTTTCTTAGAAAAATTAAAATTTTGAATATAGGTCCTATTCCTACTTTTTGCATGTATATAGAAAAGTATTTTTCCTGTCTCAATAATGAAAAAATTAGATTACTATAAAAATAAAAATATCTATTGGCACAATTATGTTAATTGTTTTTGAAAACTTTACTATAGTCTAAACACGGTAATTTAATTTTTCCTAATGTTCTTCTACCTTTTCAGAAAAGCTATTTTTTATTAAAAAAAAAAAAAAAAAAAAAAAATTGAAACTTTACTAATAGTCGAAACACGGTAATTTAATTTTTCCTAATGTTTCTTCCTACTTTTCAAGAAAAGCTATTTTTTTAATTAAAAAAAAAAAAAAAAAAAAAAAAAAGGAATCCCGTCATCCAGTACCACCGTAACGAAAGTTAATGAAGAAATTTGAAGATGTGATAGTATCATTAATAGCCAACAGCACTAATGATTCAAATGGTAAAAAAAAAAAAAAAAAAAAAAAGGAATTCCCGTCATCAAGTACCACCGTAATCGAAAGTTAATGAAGAATTTGAAGATGTGATATTCATTATAGCCAACAGCATAATGATTCAAATGGTAGATTGGTTTCCTCTTTAAATTATAATCCGTGAGAGAGAATAAGATTAATACTAGTGAACTAGCAACTGATAGTAAGGGAAATAATCAATGGCGATAAAATTTTGGATCCTCAATGTTTGAGCCTGAAATCTCTCATAACTAGTCTTGTTTTATGTCAATTTCATTTCTTTGCAAAACCCAATTTGGCTTCCTAACATACCATTCTTCAGCTTTCAAGAAAATGAAAATGATCTCAATGGCATCTACTCTTCCCTTGTCCTCACCCACCCACATCCCCTCAGAAAATCCTCCTTTCTCCCTTCTCCAAACCTGCAAATCCATGGACCAACTCAAGCAAATTCACTCCCTAGCAATCAAAACTGGCATTGCATGCAACCCCATCACACAAAATAAGATTATTGCCTTGTGTTGTACTAAAGAATTCGGGGATATGGATTACGCGCGCCAATTGTTTGATACAATTTCTGAACCAACAGTCTTCCTTTGGAATACCATGTTGAAAGGGTATTCAAGGACTGGTTATCCTAAACTTGGGGTTTCTACGTATTTAGAAATGTTAAAGAGGAGTTTTATACCTGATTGTTACACTTACCCGTTCTTGATGAAAGGTTTTACAAGAGATATCGCATTAGAATGTGGCAAGGAGTTGCATTGTCATGTGGTGAAATATGGGCTTGGTTCTAGTGTCTTTATTCAAAATGCATTGATAAATATGTATTCTTTGTGTGGTTTAATTGACATGGCTCGTGGGATCTTTGATATGAGTTGTAAGAGTGATGTGGTCACTTGGAATACAGTGATTTCTGGTTACAACAGAATAAAACAATATGATGAATCTAAGAAGCTGTTTTGTAAGATGGAGAAGAAAGGAGTGTTACCTTCTTCGGTTACAGTTGTTTTGGTATTATCAGCTTGCTCTAAGTTGAAGGATTTAGAATGTGGTCAACAAGTTCACAAGTATGTTACTGACCGTATTGTCGAGTCCAATTTGACAGTGGAAAATGCTTTAATTGACATGTATGCTGCATGTGGTGAAATGAGTGTTGCACTTCAGATTTTTAAGAATATGAAAAAGCGCGATGTGATTTCTTGGACTGCTATTGTTACTGGGTTTGTGAATATAGGACAACTTGATATGGCTAGAAACTATTTTGACCAGATGCCTGAGAGAGACTATGTTTCGTGGACTGCCATGATAAATGGATACATTCGAGTTAATTGCTTCAAAGAGGCTTTGATTCTTTTCCGTCAGATGCAAGCTTCCAATGTAAAACCAGACGAATTCACCATGGTTAGCGTACTGACAGCTTGTGCACAACTTGGTGCGCTAGAGCTAGGAGAATGGGTAAAGACTTATATTGACAAAAACAAGGTAAAAAATGATGCCTTTGTTGGGAATGCTTTGATAGACATGTACTTCAAATGTGGGGAAGTTGAAAAGGCACGAAGCATATTTAATGGTATTTCTCAGCGAGACAAATTTACATGGACTGCCATGATTGTTGGCCTTGCCATTAATGGACATGGCAAAGAGGCTCTTGATGTGTTTGCTCAAATGTTGAAAGCTTCAGTAACTCCGGATGAGATAACTTATGTTGGTGTTCTTTGTGCTTGTACTCACACCGGCATGGTGAACGAAGGGAGGAAGTTTTTCGTTGGCATGACCACTCAACATGGCATCGACCCAAATGTGGCTCATTATGGATGCATGGTTGATCTTCTTGGTCGAGCCGGACATCTAAAAGAAGCTCACGAAGTTATAAAGAATATGCCCATGAAACCGAATTCAATTGTTTGGGGAGCACTTCTTGGTGCCTGTAGAGTTCATAAAGATGCAGAAATGGCTGAAATGGCAGCTAAACAAATTCTTGAGTTAGATCCAGCTAATGGAGCTGTTTATGTGATTCTACGGAATATTTACATAGCTTGCAATAAACGGGATAATTTACGTGAATTAAGAAAAACAATGATGGATAGAGGAATCAAGAAGATCCCTGGATGCAGTTTGATAGAGATGAATGGTGCTGTTCATGAATTTGTTGCTGGAGACCAATCTCATCCTCAGAAAAAAGCCATATATTTGAAGTTGGATGAAATGACATCTGATTTGAAATTGGCAGGGTATTCACCTGATACTTCTGAGGTGTTTCTTGAAATAGGAGAAGAAGATAAAGAGAGTGCAGTTTACCTGCACAGCGAGAAGCTGGCTATTGCATTTGGGCTCATCAGTTCAGGAGCCGGGACCACAATTAGAATTGTGAAGAACCTCAGAATCTGCGTAGATTGTCACCAAATGGCGAAGTTGGTATCAAAGGTGTATGATAGAGAAGTGATTGTCAGGGATCGAACTCGTTTCCATCATTTCAGGCACGGTTCATGCTCATGTGAAGATTATTGGTGATAGTTGAACAAATTGCATATTCTAAATTTTCTTAATCTAATTGTTCTTTTGAGTATCTGATGCAAGAAGCTAGCTAGCTAGCTAGCTTATGTTAATTGCATATGTTAATCAATTCAATAACATTCTGTAGTTAATATAGATGAATTTTTGTAACAGTTAAATGATGCCAAGTCTCTTCCTTGTTGCTCCAAATAACCTGGATGTAAAAATTATTCAGCTTGCTTGCCTAAGGTCTATGCCTATGAGGAACTCCACTGTACCTCCAGATGTCAACAGCTAAATCAACATGCTCAAGGTAGGTCATCTAGTCTACTAGTCCCTAAGATAGTATTAATAGATGGAAATAATATACAAACCATAATTTAAGCGCAAGTCCAAGGTGGGGGAACTAAGATGGTTAACCAAGAGCAAAGCATGTTGCTGAAATCACATACTTAAACATTTATATGAATTTCAGGTTGACATGTTCACCCAATATACTTTCACCTTAATGATAAACTCTTCTAAAATTTACTTTCTCTACAGAGGATTTAACAAAATCACTCCCACTACAAGAAGTTCCAGAAAGGTTTTATGGAATGCAATTTTTGCATAATTAAGATCTTTTGCAAATTTGAAATTCCAACTCCCAATTCAAAGTGAACAGAACTTGCCATCACATTCCAAATTCAGATACAGCATACATGAATTGGTAACAAATGTTCATTCAATTTGATCCTGGGTCAAGCACGGGAAGCCTACAATGTAGACTGATTGACTTATCTGTTTGGTGTGTTCCTGGAATAAAGAACTGGAATATTACAGTCAAGCAAGCACCCTCAGCAATGATCCCGTAAAAAGCAGTGTCTGGTTTGGCTAGATGACATTGAAGACTCTTGGAAAAGTGTCTTACACTCACTTGCACAGATTGGGCATCTCCCCTTGAAATTGCCCTCTGTGACCGAGTCTGAGCGCTTAAGTTTTGATCCTCAGGTGGAGCTGGGGCTTTGTCTCCAATAACCAACAGTTTACGAAATTCAGCACCTAATGTGATCAATGTAGTTGAAATTTGCACATGAAGATCCCCATACTTGCTTATAGAGACGTTTAGCAAATCACCAACATGCTTCATCCTGTCCACATAGTTTTGCAACTGATTCAAGTCTGGAACTTGAACCAAAGTCTGTGGCAGATCTTGGGCCATATCAAGAGCAGTTTGAAGTTCCAGCACTTGAGCTCTCGATAATGGTTTTGATATTGGTATGTCCTGAATAACTGCAGATTTATAACCCTTAGTTTCAAAGGTAAGAAAAGGCATTGGCTGTGTACAGTTTGGAGGAAGTTTCTTCACCAATTTAATCTGTAGGCGATTTGCAGTTAGTCCACCACTACCAAATTCACTGCAAATACTGACACTGCTTCGAACAGCACGATATAGAAGAGAAATGTCTATGGCAAAGGCAATGCGGTCCTCATTCTGGCTGGAAATGCGATAATCATCAAAGAGAGCCTCTTTTCGGAACTGAGCAATGGATTGAACTCCGTCCCCATTGAGAAGATTGTGAAGGAAAATAGCATGATCCCTGGTAAGGAAAAGATGACATACCTTTCCCATTTTTTCCATGGCAGGTAGGAACCTCCTTTCTAACAGACTAACACCATTCTCTGCAAGAAAAGCCTTGAACTTCATCTCTTTCAAGTCCGAGTTATCACTTCTGCCAAAAATAATAGGTACTGCAGCTACTGCCTCTGCACAAATACAGATACATGCTGCAATTACTAGCAGCATGAGCAAGGCGGATAACTGGTTATTACTATTATAAAAAGCAGAAAGTGGCATGAAAGTAAAAATATTTCAAAAATATGCAGTTGCATTTATCTTTTTTCGACAATTTTTGATTAACTTCAATTATTTGAAACTTTTTCTCCCTAGATCCGCCGTATCCCAGAGCTAATAAGTAATAATCAATGTTCCAAACGTCACAAAAGATTATGATACTAGAACTTGTTGAAATAAATATAAACTAGCATATCCTGCACAAGCCAGTATTGAATGTAGAGGTTCCATATCTGTAGAAATTGAACCAGAAAAAGACGACCGCCACCACTACAACGTTTTGATGCCACAATCTAGAGCCAAAAATTTAACTGATTCATCCATAGAGCCTAATTCTTATCAACAATCTACCACCAATCTCATTCACTAGTATGATAAGAAATAACCAGATAAAAGAAAGGAAAAAGTATGACCAAAATGCAATTTTAGCATGAAAATCTAAAGTTAAGTACCCAAAGCACCATATTCGGGTAAAAGAAAAAAAAAAAAAAAAGAAGAAGAAAAGATCTAATAGTTGGTAGGGGGTTTACAAGTGCCTAGTGCTGCACTACAACATGGTAGACTCCACTCTGCATATTAACAAATCTGACCTATTTATTATGGAATGTTAATATCTTAATTATCACCCGATTCCTTTTTTTTTTTTTTTTTTTTTTTTTTTTAAAAAAAAAAAAAAGAAGAAAGAAAAAGATCTAATAGTTGGTAGGGGGTTTAACAAGTGCCTAGTGCTGCACTACCAAATGGTAGACTCCACTCTGCATATTAACAAATCTGACCTTTATTGTTATTATCAGGAATGTTAATATCTTAAATTATCACCCGAATTCTTTTTTTTTTTTTTTTTCCTTTTTTTTTTTTCCCTTCAAATTATGAAGAGGTTATGCTTCATGAGACAATTTCAAATCTCTACCATAAACGAATACCTACAACAAATCAAATCTAAACAGTTTTTTTTTTTTTTTTTTTTTTTTTTTTTCCCTTCAAATTATGAGAGGTTATGCTTCATGATACAATTTCAATCTCTACCATAACGAATACTACAACAATCAATCTAAACAGTAAATACTAGGGGTTTGTATACCAGTTTTACAAAAAATTTACGAAATTCAAAGTAAATCAAATGTTACCAAACAGCAATTAACAATTTTAGTATTCACCAGCCGTATTCGTCTGATTCGACAAATGAAGTTGTTTTTTCCCATTTTTTCTCGGGAACCAAACAAAAAATTAGAAATGAACGATTATAAGCTTACCCGGATCGGGCTTTTGAAGATGGCGCCACAGAGCTGTTGAATGCGCGAAATGGAGGGAAATTGCAAAGAGCAAAGAGGGTTTATTACCAGGAAACGGGACGAGACGGGAAGGCTAAACTTGTAACTTAACTTCTTTCACCGTGGAGAAATTTTCCTTCTTTACCGTTACCGCGTTTTCTTTTCCCGATAACACCATTTCCATTTTTTCATTTTTTTTCCCTAAATTTTGACCCCAAAATTATTCTTTTTTTCATTAAAAATGGATTTGCCCTGTAGAAAATGTGCATAGTTAGAACTCTTGAATTCAACTATCAAAATATAAGGCTTAAAAGTTCGTCCACTGCATAAATTCGTCCATATATAGTGGCGGATCCAGAATCGAAAACTAGGGATCAATTAGAAAATTCATTTACCAATGGACCAAAGATTTCAAATTGGTATCCACTGTACATGTTTTCTTAAAGAAGCAAAACAATACAATTAGTAATTTACGTGAACATATAAAACCAACAACATATATTTCTCTAACTTCTAGTTCCACAAAATTAAGCTTCCCTAGCTAATACATGGCTAGTTTTCTGAAAGATGAAACTTGTTCAATATCTCACCCAAAGCTTGCACTGTAATTTTGTAGTGATCTTGTGATTTCTTTCCTTCCTCTACAACCCGCACAATGCATTTATACAAATGGTCATACCTGTGAACTGGGTTATTAGTATCAATACCACCACCAAATCTGTGATCAAGAACATATGATCGCTTCACGTCTTTTCTCCATCGTGTAAGAATGTATTGCGGTGGGATCTCCTCCAAACCATTTTGGTTGAGGATACTTAGAGCGTGCCTGCATAAATATCCTCTGAAGTTGAACAAACCACAAACACAAAGGATGTCCATTTCTGATGCATTGTACATTACCTCAAAGTCGCTTGTCTCTTGACAGTTGCCCTCAATCTCAACTTGTTCTTTGACTATATATGTTATTAATGGTCCATCAACACTTACCTGTCTTGTGCTGAAACAAGCATACATGCCCTCCACCTCCTTTTCGAACCTCTTTAGTATTTCATTTGTGTACAATTTCGAGAGTTGCAGCTCAAAATAACATCTAGATTTTAAAATAAAGCTTGAATTCCTTGAATCCATATCTGCCAAGGCTTCAAGTTGATGATTCATCTGTAAAGCTTGATCATATTTGTTCAAAAATTCTTTAATAGAAGTATGTTTATCCAGATACCCTTCAAAAATTGAAGGCACAATCTCATTTTGCCGGACTGGAAATAAGCCTGCCAAAAATGTTTCTTTCACATAAGCTGGAGCCCACCTTTTCCTATCTTCATATAAAGTTTGAATCCATTTATGGTCCCTGATTCCATGATGTTGGATCATCTGCTCCCAAGCTGCTTCAAATTCCTCGGGCCTTAGGAAGTCATAAACTGTTTTATTCAATGCTTCTTTAATTGCTTCAAATTCAAATAAATCTCCAAGAATCTTCGGAATACCTTGCATGATACGAGACAAATGAAGGCAATGGGAAGCCCTTGGGAAAACATCAGCAACTGCAGTTTGCAAATTTATGCACTGGTCAGTGATGACAGTTTGTGGAGGACGTCCTAACATACATGTAAGCCATGCTCTCAACAACCAAATATATGATTCAGTAGTTTCACCAGCAAGTAAACCACAACCCAATAGTATGGACTGCGCATGGTGATTTACTCCAATAAATGAAACCAATGGTACTTCAAGTTCATCTTTCAAGCATGTAATGTCAATTACAATGACATCACCAAAATAGCCATATGAAACCCTAGACTTTGCATCAGCCCAGAACAAATTCCTCATACATCCTTTTTCATTAAGATCCACCACATAAAAGAAGTTGGGGTCCGTCAACTGCAGGCGGCAAAAAAAATTCTGAATCGCCAGGGCATCTCCCTCTTTAAGCTTCAACTGACTGGAGTGGGGAGGATTTCCACACTGTCCTTCATCATCATCTACACCTTCATTGCCCTCAGCATCTACAATCACAGTGCGATACAGCCTAATTTTCTGCACTTCGTCAGAAGCATCTAATTGCAATGTCCTTTTAGTTCCAGCACCTATTAGCTTATGTGATTTGTAGAACTTTCCACTTGCTGGGCTAATTAAGTGATTGTGCTCCAGCTCAACTTCAATAATTCTCCACCTTTTGTTTTCCATCAACCTAAATTTGACCATTGCTGGACACCCAGTTCTTGTTTCAGGTCTTGGCCGGTTCGCTTCACTTTTCTTTTTGAAACCTGCACTACTACAGCTAAGCTTTCCTCTGTATCTTTCTTTACTCTTTCTATACCATGTATTGCTTACTCTAACCCCAAATCCCTGTTCCTTGGCATAGCAATTGTAGAAGTAATATACATCCTCGTAGGACTCGAATTCCATTCCAACAGAAGGAGGCAGAGGATTTTCCCCCTGGATTACACCAGTTTGACCAACATATTCTGCCATTGCACAATCTCCTTCAATCTCAAATTCATCTGCATCATCCTCACCTACTGGCTCAGTGTTGAGGGACACTTCATCCATCTGCAAAACACCTGGAATGATGTGACAAACAATAAGCTTCCAGAAAATTGGAACATAATATTGGCAAGGAAATTTATCAGTAATGCCACTTGAACAAAATACCAAAAAATAGGAAAGGTAAAAAGCATCCAAATAATATTTATAGAAAAATCCCTGCTAAATCTACCTTTAATATTAGATATATCACAATTTCCCACTTCTGATCAAAGATAACAACGGCTGCCTGTGTGCACAAAGGAACCCACAAGACACAACCTTTTCGGAAGGAAATGAAGTACCCTCTGCTATACTATCCGAAGGTCCAATAAAGGTGTATTGCTGTTCACTAACCAAACATATTATTAAAGCACTCCAAATTATCAAATATCACAAGTAACAGTAAGTTTCAATCCTGCATTTGAAAGCCTTGAATCAACAGAAACCCTATATAAATCAGTCAAATAACATATTTGGTGATGCACTACAGCGACATAAAAGGATAACATTTGGCTAAGCTAAGTAGAAAGGAAGTTTGATCTGCTCCGTATTATCCAGCATGGTTTATAAGACAGACACAACAAATTGAACACAGAACCTTTGCAAATTAAACCAAAAATCCAAATTCAGATTATCAGCATATTGTTAAGCATGACATATAATTGAAAAGAAGAAGAAGAAGAAGAAGAAGAAGAAATCATTGTGGAAAAAAAAAAGTGTTAGTGAGAAAGGTAAAAATTTAAAGACTTCTTGGAAAAATAAAATGAGTGACTTACCTAAAAAATTATTGATATTGGAAATTCAAGACTGTTGATTCAGTTGATTCAAGAGAACGCCAATCTCACTGGAAGACAGCCGGAGTTAATCGGAGCTTCCTTGAGGGAAACATGAATACAGGGAGCATTTTCTTTCCTTCTCTTTTTCTTTGCTTTTTTTGTAATAAAACCCAATAAGTCTTTATATTTCCTATATTGACCCCTTCTACTATCACATTTTTCTGGTGCATTAAGAATCATGTGCCGGCAACAGCAACTTTATATGAATTTAGGTTCGAGCCAACAAATTGAATGTTTCTAAAATTCAAATGATGATTTTCTAAATTTCATTTCATTTTACACTAGCATATGCTATTTTAAGGATAATTTCAAAGTTGGCCGAGAGGAGCATATTTATAAAATTGTTTGTATATACTAGTTTATTTCATTTTTTAAAGAAAAAGATGATTACCTTCAAAAAAACAGAAAAAGCTGATATTTTATTAATATATATTGTTATCGGAAAAAACTAACTCATTTATACTAGATCCATGACTACACTTATAAACCAAATAACAATTAAAAATTCTTTAAAAAGTGTTACGCAGGTTTTTTCATTGTTATTGGACTGATTTAGGTAATTTTTCCAATTGGTAATTGCATTATTATTAAAGACACTAATCTTGGAACAACAAAAATGGAAAAATAAGTTATCCACTTCTTTAAAAAATGGACAACAATATGAAATAAATAAAAAGGAAAATCAATCCTTTTCTTTAGGCATTTGATATATTAAAGGAAACTCATATAAAAATGAAAAAACTATATAGATCCAATTCAATATTTATATGGATAAAAATAATCTAGAAATTGTAATCTAGAAATTTTCTTTCCTAACACCCCTAAATTCCAATTTTTGACATTTAAAAGCACAAGACTGCTAGTATATTTACAATAAACCTAGCACCCTTTACATTGTAAAACTATTCTTGCTTTTCTTCTACCTCATGAACCCTGTTCAATGATTCTTCAAATGCTTGCAATGCAACACTATAGTGATCTAAAGAAATCACTCCTTCCTCTACAACTTGCAAAGCACTTCTGTACAACTGATTAAACCATTGAACACGATCAGTAACATTGACTCTATTGGAGCTGTGATCTGGAATGTACAAGCGCTTGTAATCCTTTTTCCACCGCGACAAAATATATTTTGAAGGGACTTCTTCTACTCCATTAAAGTTAAGCACACACAAAGCATGACGACATAAATATCCATAGAAGTTGAAGCAGCTGCAAATGCATCGAACCTCTCCTGCACTTCTGTTATACAGGACTTCATAATCTCTAATTTCCCTTCGATTTCCTTCGCCCATTACACGTTCCTTGACCAAAAATATTATAATTGGTCCATCAACATGTATCTGTGTAGTGCTAAAACAAGAATACATTTCTTCCACCTCAAATTGGAACTTCTTAAATATTTCCCTAGTGTACACTTTTGACAGCTGCAACTCAAAAGAACATCTGGTTTTCAATGGTGGGCCGGAGCTTCTAGACTCGATATCTGCAAGAGTTTCTTCCTTGTGCTTTTTTTGGAGAGCTAATTCATATTTATCCAGAAATTCTTTCAAAGGAGTTTGTTTATGCACATATTTATCAAAAAATGGATTCAATGCCTCACCAGGCTGGGCAGAAGACAATCCAGCAAAGATTGTGTCCTTTAAATAAACTGGGGCCCACCAAACTCGATCTTCATATAGTGATCGAAGCCATTCATGATCAACAACTCCAAATCGCTGGATCATAAATCCCCATGCTGCTTCAAATTCAATTACTTTCAAAGTTTCATAAACTGTTTTAATCAAAGCCTTTCTGATTGCATCATAGTTACGCAATCCTCCCAATTTTTCTGGAACCCTTCTCATGATATGTGACAAACCAAAACGATGGTGAGATCTTGGAAATATCTCTGCAATTGCATTCTGCAGAACTTTACACCTGTCCGTAATAATTGTTTGGGGAGTGCATGCTGAGAGACATGTAAGCCATGTTTTGAATAACCAAATATAAGACTCTGTTGTCTCACCTGCAAGCAGGCCGCAACCCAATAAAACAGACTGGCCATGGTGATTTACTCCAACAAATGCCACAAGTGGTATCTCATATTTGCTTGACAAGTAAGTGTTGTCGATATAAATGACATCACTAAAGTAACCACGTGCAGCCCTTGACCTAGCATCAACCCAGAACACATTTCGCAGGTGCCCTTCATCATTGAGATCCATCAAATAAAAGAAGTTTGGATTAGTCAACTGCATACGACAAAGGTAGTTATAAATAGCTTGTGCATCACCCCTTTTAAGATTCAGTTGATGGGGAACTTCAGAAAAGCTCCCAACTTCTCTTGCATTTGAACTTGAGTTCCCATTACCCCCTGCATCTATTACGAGCGCCCGGTACAACTTGATTGTTCGTACTTCTGCATCTGAACTTGACTGTGACTTCCTTTTGTTTCCAGTTCCCATCTTCTTAACAGATTTATATATCTTAGTACCTAATAGGTGATTGTGTTCGAGCATAACCTCTAACACCCTCCACCTCTTGGAGTCCACCAGCCTCATCCTTATCATTGCCGGACAACCTGTTCTTGTTTCCTTTCTCAAACGATTCACATCTTTAATTCGTTTGAAACCCTGGCTACTGCAACAAAGGACTGCGCCATACTTCTCTCTACTGTTTCGCTTGAACCATGAATTCTTAACTCTAACACGAAATCCCACTTCCTTAGCATAGCAATTGTAATAATTATAAGCATCATCATAAGACTCAAACTCCATGCCAACAGCAGGTGGAACAAATTCTTTTTTCTCTTCATGCACGCCATTTTCCCCATGTAACTCAGTTATCTCACCATCCTTTTCTTTCTGACTCTTGATCAACTCACCATCAGGTAGTTGATCAATGCTGCAAGGGGCTTCTGCCATCTGTAAAACAAAATCACTCACTTATATCAGAAGTATGCTATACAACAACAAAAATAAAGAGATGAAACATTTAAGTATGAAACAAATCTCCACCGCTGGCAGTAAGACTAATGGCCATCCTGTTGAGGGTCTATTATCAATAAATTAACCAGCACCTAACCACCACTTCCCATAGAAAAATTTAAGAGTTCTAAATAAGACTATCATAGAAACATGTATTCCAATTTGATGACTATTTTGATTATCATTATCCACTACTATCACCCAACTTCCACAATTTTTTACTTGAAGTTCTAAACCACTCTTGATTATCTAACTATATGGATAGAAACGAAAAGGTCAATTGTATGATGCTCTAGAAAGAAATGAAGAATTCATGCATTCTTTATGAACAGCATATAAGTACCTGTCTCTGACCTCCCAATCCTGAGGGTCCTGAAAGTCTAAATCTTGAAGAATCTCCCAAAATTTTCCAGAATTGGGGATCTTATAGCTAGAGAACAAAACTTATTTCCATTCAACTTAGAAATGATCAACCTGGAGAGAGGAAAGAAAATGACGAAATACATGTCAGTTCAAGAACATCTTAATGATCTAATTTTAAAAAGTTGAATAAGTAAACCATTACTAACTGATCCACAAAAAAAACCAACAGCTACTGATGTATCTACAGTTTCATGCATTTTCAGATGCTTTCCAGATTGCTAATAGCCGATTCCACCAAACTTGAACGCAGTACAAAGCTTGAAACACATTGAAGTTCCACTCACTTAAATAAATCTTACTTTGCTTGATTCTATAACCAATAAAATACTATTTGATTGCAAATTAGTTTCCTTGACTATTGCCTCATTGGTGCAATCTGATTCACCTCCTCCAGCAACTACTTACACTAGATGATTCACAAATGACTTCAACAAGCAGCATTTCACACACTTTGTAAGAATGACGCTTTTAGGCAATTTTACTGTCTCTCCAATAAAATCTCACTATAAAGATTCATTAACAATTTGTATCATATTTATGTTCTAATTTCTTATTTTAAAAAAAGTAAGTATAGTGAGACTAGCAAAGGAAAGCTACAACCCTAAAACCAATCTAAACAAGAAAAGGAATAAGGAAATAGAACATTTCACTTGATTATAATCACTGTTAGTCCTCCTCCTATAGAATAGAGCTCTCTAAGCATCAAAATGGCCCTGTATTTATGTTATAAAATAACAATTTAACCACAAATTTACCATATTCAAAATTTGAGAATGGAACTTATTGCATCTAAAGTTGAAACCAATTCAGGATTGCTAGAAACAGGAAACAAACAGAAACTTTAATCTGAGGAACAAATACTGAAACAATAAAAGAAATACTAGAATTGAAAAGCAACGGTGGGTACGTGAGATGCTGAAAGCACTCACAGTGGATAACTTTGAATTCGGCGGCGAAGATCCGGCGACTCGGACGATTCCGGTGGCGACCTTGATTTTTACAGGCCTTTTTTATTTTTTTTATTTTTTTCTGCTTGTTGCAGAAAGCGAGAGAGCTCGACGGGTGAGGTTAGAGTTTCCAGGGAAATGGTCGCGTCCGGTTAGTTTTGCTAGAGTGCTGTGCATTTAACGGCTTGATTTCGCTACGTCAAAGTAAGATCAGCAAGGACCGTTGGATGGTTCCTCCTGGAAAACTATGAACGATGTCGTTTCACTAAATCATGCTTCTCGAGACTTTGCGTTATTCTTCGTGAGACTTTGCGTCATGTAGCAAGAATTTTCAAAGATAAAAATTAATAATTCATTTTTCCCAGGATATTTGAATAGTAGTTTTTTTTGAGACTTCTCTGTACAAGGTAATCCATTTGTCTCAAAATATACATCGTTTTTTATTTATTATTTTGTCCCAAAATATAAATCATGTTGTGTATTTCATAAAAAGTAATAAATGATGGTTTTTCAATGTTATCCTTCTTCACACTAAATATAATAAATATTGTACAAGCAATTATTAATTTTGAGATAAAGGACAATTTAATCAATTTACTCTTGAATTTGTTATAATCTAGAAGAATTGGTTGCTTCCTTTATCAATCTTTACGTAAAAACCTTAAATGACTTATATTTTTTTATATAAATATGACATACAGATCAATATATTTTTATATTTTTGTTAATAAATCACTTATATTTATTAGAATTATTAGAATAAACAACTTATATTTTAGTACAGAAGAAATAAAATGATTAGAATTAAAAGCCCTATAGACTACTTTTCTGTTTTCTTTTCTTCCTAGGCATATGCCCTTAATATGGGACGACGAAAAGCTAATAAGACTGATTTTTCTTTTTCCAGTATGCAAATAAGATACTGATGCACAAAAAGAAGCAAGGAAAACATCCATTTTACAAAGAATCAAAATTTCATTAATGATCAATCAATACATGCTTGTCTGCTACAAGACGGACCTTATTCAAAGATTCTTTAAATGCTTGCCAAGCAACCATATAATGGTCTTGAGAAATCATCCCTTCCTCAACAACTTGCATTGCTCGTTTGTACAAATGATCAAACCACTGAACTGGATTACCGATATCAACACTGTTGGATCCAAGATCCGGTACATATAGGCGCTTAAAATCCTTCCTCCATCGTGCCAAAATATACTGGTAAGGTATTTCTTCCACCCCATTGTAGTGCAAAATGCAAAGGGCATGCCGGCACAAGTAACCTTTGAAGTTGAAACAACCACATATGCACCGGACTTCTGCTCCTGATTTATCATACAATACCTCAAAAGTTCGATTGTTGCTGAGATTTTCCTCACATTCTCGTTCTTTGATCATATATGTAACTACTGAACCATTGGCATGAACTTGTGTGATGCTAAAACAGGAGGACATCATCACCACCTCATCTTGGAATTTCCTAAATATTTCGTTTGTGTACACTTTAGATAGCTGTAACTCGTAATAGCTACTTGTTCTCAACATGGAGCTTGAATCTCTCGACTCAACATCATCAAGAGCTTCCTTGTGATGTTTCTTCTGTAAAACTAATCCATACATGTCCAAAAACTCTCTTAAAGAAGTTTGATGGTGCACATAACCATCAAAAAACTGGATCATGGACTCACCTCTTTCGAAAGTGCCCATTCCAGCATAAAAAGAGTCTTTGGAATAAACTGGAGCCCACCGTTCTCGATCTTCATACAAACTTCGAAGCCACTCATGATTTGCGATTCCAAATTGCTGGATCATACCTTCCCAAGCCATTTCAAATTCATCCACCTTTAGAGTGTTGTAGACAGTTGTATTGAACACCATCTGAAAGGTTTCATAATCCTGCAATTCTCCCAAACTCTGAGAAATCCTTTGTGCAACACGTGACAAACAAAGACGATGGTGAGCCCTAGGAAACACCTCTGCAATTGCACTTTGCATGACCTTGCAATGGTCAGTAATGACGGTTTGAGGAGGTCGCCCTAAGACACATGTAAGCCATGCCCTGAATAGCCAAATATATGTTTCAAATGTTTCGTCCGCCAACAAACCATAACCAAGCGGAATAGGCTGCCCATGGTGATTCACTCCAACAAATGTGAATAGCGGAATTTCATATTTGTTTGACAAGCATGTGGTGTCAAATATAACAACATCACCAAAGTAGGCATATGCAGCCCTCGACCTTGAATCAATCCAGAAAACATTTTTCAAGAACCCCTCATCGCTGAGATCCATCAAGTAGAAAAAGTTTGGATTTATCAGTTGAGCTTGAGAAAAATAATTAAAAATGATCTTCGCATCTCCTTTTTGAAGCTTCAAACGCTTCGACCTGTCAACATAGTGGCTATTTTCTCCTTCATTAGAGTTTGGGCTTCCATAACCAAATGAATCTACAGCAGCTGTCCGATATAATTTGATAGTCCGTACCTCCACATCAACAGTCGGCTCTACCTTTCTTTTAGACCCAGCATCCATCTTCTTGTGTGACTTAGAATTTTGTGCTCTCTCAGGATCAAATGAGTGGTTGTGTTCAAGCTTGACTTCATCCACCCTCCACCTATTAGATTCCACTAATCTCAACCTTATCATTGCTAGACAACCGGTTCTTGTTTCCTTCCTACGGCTGTTTGCTTCTTTCATTGTCTTAAAACCCTCACAATTGCAGCAAAGAACCGCACCGCGTTTCTCTTTGCTGTTACGTTTTGTCCATGATGATTTGACCCTGATGGCAAATCCCAATTCCTTCGCATAACAGTTATAATAATTGTAAGCATCATCATACGATTCAAACTCCATCCCCACAACAGGAGGGGGATACTCATTTCCTTGAGATTCACCATTTTGCCCATCCACTGCCGGTGTATTGCCTCTGTAGTTATCTTGGCCATGATCTTCAATATGAAGAACTTGGTCACAATTACTTTCAACATCATTGCCTCCAGTTTCAAGCTCATGGCTTTCTATCTCAAGGTTGTTATCTTCAATCTCAAGACCATTGCCCTCAATCTCAATGCCGTTGCCGTCAATCTCAAGGTCGTTGCCCTCAATTTCAAGGTCATTTCCCTCGATCTCTAGACTATTGCTATCAAACTCAAGATCATCGCCTTCCTCCTCGAGCAGTTGTTCACTGTTCTGAGACCCTTCTTCTATCTGAAATGCAAAATGAAAGATATAACAGTGTTGGCAAGAGTAGCGAGCAACAACCTTCAAAGTCCTTTGCAGTCATTTAATTCTCAATATCTAAAGTCTAGAATCCCTCCTTCCATGGCTGCACTAACTAACTTAATTCCCTACATAAACCCTCACTTAAGACTGAATTTGCATCTATAAGGCATCAACGCAGGTACTAAAACTGCTTTAATAAACTAAAAACCCAGTTCATCTAACAAACCATAACAATTACAAGCTTAGAGTCACCAACTTTCCCGAACACTTGGAAATAAATACACAACAAAAACCGTATAACAGAAAAAGAACAAAGATCCCTAATCAAAATGGAAACGTAATTGTGAAATTTATTGACATTGTTAAGGAAAGAAAATCTAACAAGCTATAATACTAACCTCAATCATCGCCATCCTCCAGCAATTTCCTCCCGTTTTAGAGCTTGAGGTAGCCGCCTTTGGTTGAAAGGAGTACCGCCATGAAATTCGCCGGCCGCTTCGACAAATCCGAATAACGGTGATGTGATCAGGTAATATTCAATAATTATGTATTAAAAAAAAAAAAAGAAAAGAAAAAATCTCCCGTAATCTAGAAAGGCCTTAAGCTTTTAGTTGGTTTTGGATTCCAAAGCGAAGAAAACATGTTGGTTCGGTTCATTCGGTTAGATCCAAAGAGGGACAGTTGGGCCTGTCGTAAGGGAGTGGGTTACTGGTTTGAACGGTTTGCTGTTCCGATCTGAGAGGTGATGGAAACTAATCAAAAAGACAAAAAAATATCGTATGATAGGTAAAATAATAATTTATTTTTTTAATATAATATATTATAATTTCATCAGTTGGGCCTGTCGTAAGGGAGTGGGTTACTGGTTTGAACGGTTTGCTGTTCCGATCTGAGAGGTGATGGAAACTAATCAAAAAGACAAAAAAATATCGTATGATAGGTAAAATAATAATTTATTTTTTTAATATAATATATTATAATTTCATTAATAAATTTAAATCAATATGAATAATATAGAGATTATATTATATCTCCCGAAACATAATCAAAAGAATTTATTGATCATATTTAATTATTTATCTTACTATCAATTAATTTAATTTTCCAATTACTAATGGAGAATAATCTCATAGCCAAACAACTAGAGATTTATTCAATAGCTATAACAAAGAAATCCTAAAAAAACATCTATAACAAATAAATATTTACATATTGTATGAATTCTAATATGAAAATATAATAACAATATCTTATCTTATAAGGAAAAATTATTATTTCGTCCATGAGGTTTTACATAATTATTTAAGTAGTCTTCAACATTTATACATATATTTATAACATCCCTGAGGTTTGCCACCGTCATATTAATTGGTCTCCGTAAAAAAAATACACTTTTTCTGTTAATTTTGAGAAGAAAAGACGAAATTATCCTTTAAAAAAATAATTATTTCGTCCCTGGGGTTTGTCATAATTATTAAGTAGTCCTCTACATTTATACAAATATTTATAACGTCTCTGAGGTTTACTTCCGTCATATTAATTGCTCATTTCATAAAAAAAATACACTTTTTCCATTAATTTTGAGCGGAAAAGACGAAATTATCCTTTATAAGTTTTCATTGACATTATTGTCAATCCTTTTCCTCTATTGTCAATCCTTTTCCTCTAAAATACCTGAAACTCAAATTTTCACCATCTTCCTCGACCCAACGCAGTTTTCATTGCCACCACCGTGTCTCTGTCAAGTATTATCTCCATAACCAGATCACCAACAAAACTAAAAGGGAAAATATTTATAACGTCCCTGAGATTACTTAAGTCATATTACTTGGTCCTTCCGTTCAAATAACACACTTTTTACTGTTAATTTTTAATAGAATAACCAAACTAACCTAAATCCTCTAATCAATGAGAGAGAGAGATAAATGGATGAAGGGTGATGATGGCTGGTGGATGATGGCTTGATTTGGAGTTTGGTATGTTGGGTTTTAGTTTTTGGTGGTGACTCTGTTTTATAGAGATGAATAGTCATTGATACGGTGGCGGTGCAATGAAAGACCGCGTTGGGTTGAGAAAAGATGGTTTTGAAAATGTGATTTTAAGGTATTTTAGAGGAAAAAAGATTAATGAATTAATGTCAATGAAAAACTTCATAAATGATAATTTTTCGTATTTTTCACTCAAAATAATTGGAAAAAGTGTATTTTTTATGGAAAGACCAAATAATATGGGACGAAAGTAAATTCGCAAGAGGGACGTTTATAAATAATATATAAATGTAGGGGACTATAATAAATTATGGGCAAACCTCAGGGACGAAATAATTATTTTCAAAGGATAATTTAATAATTATGGCAAACCTCAGGGACGAAATAATTATTTTTTCAAAGGATAATTTCGTCTTTTCTTCTCAAAATTAACTGAAAAAATGTATTTTTTTGACTGAAGGACCAATTAATATGACGATGGCAAATATCAGGGATGTTATAAATATATGTATAAATGTCGAGGACTACTTAAATAATTATGTAAAACATCAGGGACGAAATAATAATTTTCCCATCTTATAATAATAACAACATGTTATACATTTTATTGTGTAAATTTCACTCTTCTTTCATTTTCTTATTGATATATTTTATTCATTTCTTTACATTTATTTTATTTCCCTTATCTTATCATAGCCTTTGAGGCAACCGCTAAAAGATGCAAAATTGCTTTAACAAAAAATAGTAGGCCTTCATTTCCAATTTTCTAATATATCAAATTAAATAAATATATAAAATTTAATTTTAGAAATTAATTAAGGTCTGATTAAATTTCATCCTTATAAATCATCAGTCCATTGAATAAAAACTACATATTCAATGAATCGGTCACTACCAATAAATTAGTTATCAAAATTTAACTTTCTTATTTTTTAATAAAATGTTTAAAATAAAAGTCTAGTCTATTAAATAAGATAAATAAATAAAAAATATATATATTTATTATTATTGAACTTTGTTTTATTGTTTATTTACAGCAACTTGCACAACTCACGAAAAGAACCACTTTTTGGCGTGTGGGTCATATGAGAAAAGCCGCCCTAGTCTTCTTCCTCTCAAAATAAGTTATTGGACAATTTCGTCATTTCAATTAGTATAGGCCGCTATATAAGTAGGGTCGTAGAGGGCGTCCTTCAATTTCCTATCGTAACCTAACAATTGAAATTTCAGATCTAAAACTTCATCAATCTCTCTCAACTCTCAAGGTAATTCTCTCTATTCTTTTCCTTTTCCGATTTATCTCTCCATGATTTTCTTTTACTTGTATTATTATTATTATTATTATTATTATTTCGATTCAGCGGTTGATAATACCTGAGTGTTGGATTATCTGATTATCTGAGAGTTCTTGATTTCTATATGGTAGATCTGTTTCTCTGCCTGTCTGGTAGGCATATCTTGTGTTTGTGTTTTGAAGATCTATTGAATGTGGAAAGGGTAGATCGCAAACTAGGGAATAGAAATTGATGTTTTCTTTTATTTTGTTTTCCTAGAAGGTGATTCTGTATTCATGCTTTGTGATTTTCAGCAGATCTTTGTTTATTAAACCTTAATTTGTTTTATCCCTAAGTAATCCTTTTGATCTTTGAGATTTTGGATTCATGGTTATTTTCTTTGGAATCGATGGGATAATAAATTGAATTAAACTGGAAGAATAAATTATGGTGTGAGGAAGCTAGTTATTGGTATATCTTTGACTTTTTTCCAGTTTTATTTTGTAGCATTGACCTTGCAAAACCTGTCTTTGTTAATTTGCTTGAAAACTTTCAGCTAGTTCAATGGTTTGCTCTTTTGTTTTCTGGCAATTGTTTTAGTTGATTTTTCTGTGCAAATTATGTTAGTGGGTCTATTATGTTTTCTCTTCTGAAGGAACTTAGTAACTGTTGTATGTTTAGATTTTACATGAACCGTCACAAGTTGGTCTTCCGGATTTGTGGGTATATGCACTTTTGTTGAATGGACACGCTATTTTTAACTGAACAATTTTATGTTAGAATCTAATGTTTAGTTGATTGTTATGGTAATGTTTGGGCCTTTAATGTTACTTAACCTTTTAGATATATTTTGAAAATTATTATGGTATGCGAGAACTGGATTTATTGGTAAATTTTTTATTGATAGCAAGCTTATTTGAAAACCCTGTTCTTGCGGATTTGTACGTCCAAGTTATTGTTAGTTTCATATTATCACTCATTTCTCTTTCTGCAAATCAGATGCAGATCTTCGTCAAAACCCTCACTGGCAAGACAATCACCCTTGAGGTGGAAAGCTCAGACACCATTGACAATGTTAAGGCAAAAATTCAGGACAAAGAGGGGATCCCACCTGACCAGCAGAGGCTGATTTTCGCTGGTAAGCAGCTTGAGGATGGGCGCACTCTTGCTGACTACAATATTCAGAAGGAGTCCACTCTCCACTTGGTGCTTCGCCTTCGTGGAGGCATGCAAATCTTTGTGAAAACTCTCACTGGAAAGACCATCACCCTTGAGGTTGAGAGCTCTGACACCATTGACAATGTCAAGGCCAAGATCCAGGACAAAGAAGGAATCCCACCAGACCAGCAGAGGTTGATCTTCGCTGGAAAGCAGCTGGAAGATGGGCGCACCCTTGCAGACTACAACATCCAGAAGGAATCCACCCTGCACTTGGTCCTTCGTCTTCGTGGTGGCATGCAAATCTTCGTGAAGACCCTCACTGGCAAGACTATCACATTGGAAGTTGAAAGCTCAGACACCATTGATAATGTCAAGGCAAAGATTCAGGACAAAGAGGGGATCCCACCAGACCAGCAGAGGCTGATCTTTGCTGGTAAGCAACTGGAGGATGGCCGCACCCTTGCTGACTACAACATCCAGAAGGAGTCCACCCTCCATTTGGTACTTCGTCTTCGTGGTGGCATGCAGATATTTGTGAAGACTCTGACAGGGAAGACAATCACCCTGGAAGTTGAAAGTTCTGACACAATAGACAATGTGAAGGCCAAGATCCAGGACAAGGAGGGCATCCCACCTGACCAGCAGAGGTTGATTTTTGCTGGCAAGCAGCTGGAAGATGGGCGCACCCTTGCAGACTACAACATCCAGAAGGAATCCACCCTGCACTTGGTCCTTCGTCTTCGTGGTGGCATGCAAATCTTCGTGAAGACCCTCACTGGCAAGACTATCACATTGGAAGTCGAAAGCTCAGACACCATTGATAATGTCAAGGCAAAAATTCAGGACAAAGAGGGGATCCCGCCAGACCAGCAGAGGCTGATCTTTGCTGGTAAGCAACTGGAGGATGGCCGCACCCTTGCTGACTACAACATCCAGAAGGAGTCCACCCTCCATTTGGTCCTTCGTCTTCGCGGTGGCATGCAGATATTTGTGAAGACTCTGACAGGGAAGACAATCACGTTGGAAGTTGAAAGCTCTGATACTATTGACAATGTGAAGGCCAAGATACAGGACAAGGAGGGCATCCCACCAGATCAGCAGAGGTTGATTTTTGCTGGAAAGCAGCTTGAAGATGGACGCACCCTTGCAGACTACAACATCCAGAAAGAATCCACCCTTCACTTGGTTCTACGTCTTCGTGGTGGCATGCAGATCTTTGTGAAGACCCTTACTGGCAAGACCATTACCTTGGAGGTTGAGAGTTCTGACACTATTGATAATGTTAAGGCTAAAATCCAAGACAAGGAAGGCATCCCACCTGATCAGCAGAGATTGATTTTTGCTGGGAAGCAGCTTGAGGATGGGAGGACCCTTGCCGATTACAATATCCAGAAGGAGTCTACCTTGCACCTTGTCCTGCGCCTTCGTGGTGGTTTCTGAGTTGTTGTGGTCGTTAGTTATGGTGGTTCCAATTTGGTCCTGCTAGCTATGTTTAATGGCTTTAAATAAATAATCTTGAATCCTCCTGAACTTTCTGTTTGGAACTTTTGAGTGGTTTATGTAAGTTTTTCTTTAGTTGTTCAAATGGCCGATGAGTGGTCAATTCTGCTCTGTTCTTAAATACAATAATTGCTTGTTACAATTTGGGGTTGGACTGTGAATTCATACCTTCACTTTATGCTGTCATGTGATTGTAATCGTTTGATGAGCTCAGTTGGACCTATTTTCTGATTCAAGATTTTGATGGGATTTGTCTGTGATAGACTACTCTGTCTTATGTTGGGAAATCTTTATTGAACCCAAGTGTTTGCTAGAGCAGTTCACTAGGTACTGGAAAATTCTTGGTACTTTGAAACTGGAAGCAAATACTGCCTTTCTCTCTGGGCTGCAATTATCATTATTCTTCTCAAGATACCTGTTCTTTAAGAGAAAAAAAATGGCTCACGTTGACGTTGCATTTTTACCCTCGTGAGATTCCAGGTTGAAAGGATTTTATGATATTTTTGATGTTATTCCTACTGAGTCCGATAGAATCTGCCTGATCCAACGAGAAAGCGCGTGGAACCACGAAACCCCCATAAAACACAGAAGGCCTTCCAAAGATACCACCACAGAAACTTGACAAGTGTACGTTTTTTTAAGTAAAATCGATCTTCCTCCACAGAAGAACAGAAAGCAAGCAGTTGAGGACCAAATGGCTTTGGCTCTGCTCTCTCCTCTTCCACCTTCTCTACCCACCTATACGACCAAAATAAACTACAAAAAGCAGAGAGACATCTGGGCAACCAAAAGAAGAGCAAAAACAATAATAGCAAATGCCTTAAATAGTGAAGACAAAGATGATTCACCTTCTTTTAATCCTTTTGGTTTTGTCACAGATAATCCTTCAAGCCGCAGTGCCATCCAGCTACCTGAGTCCCCTGCTGAGGACGGCAATGTTGGCCAAATGCTCTATGCAAGTTTTTTCTTTACTCATATTGAAATTCTTAAAAAATTTTGATTTTTGCTTTACCAGATAGTGAATTGTTTTTGCTTCTTAGCGGATAGAAGACAAGGGAAAAGAATTTGGTTCTTATAAAAAGTCTGGGAAGTTTACATGGTTTGTTAGAGAAACTGGTAAAACTTCTCTGGAGCAGCATTAAAATCTATTCCTTCTACTTCTTTTAGTCTTATATTATTTTTTTTCTTTTAGTCTAGGAAGTAATTTTTTTTGGATGCAGGATCACCTGATAGCCGACGGGGAACAGTAGTTTTCTTACATGGAGCTCCTACTCAATCTTTTAGTTACAGAGTTGTCATGTCTCAGGTTTGTTTTACCTGTTTCCTTTTTTTTTTTTTTTTTTTTTTTTTTTTTTTACCTGTTTCCTTTTTTTTTTTTTTTTTATTGGTTTTAATTTTAAGTGTGGTTATTGATCTGACTAAAAGTTTAAGGCATTTCTTATGTTTTTTTTTTTTTTTTTTTTTTTTTATTGGTTTAATTTTAAGTGTGTTATGATCTGACTAAAAGTTTAAGGCATTTCTTATGGAAAACTAAGTTTTTGACATGTTATGCTTGTAGCCTCGTACAAAAGCAATTTTCTGAAGGCATGTTTCTTCTGTTATGTCTTAATAACCTTGATTCCTTAGCCTTAATAGTATGGAGTGTAGACTAACCAGGGAAAGTGCCTTTTGATAATCTTGTACAAAGAGTGACTTCACTTGCTTTAGCGTTCCTCTACAAATCAGTGCTGCTTACTTTCAATGAAGAAAGTTGCTTTTCCCCAATTTTTCTTGTATAGATGTCGGATGCTGGTTTCCACTGCTTTGCACCTGACTGGATAGGATTTGGTTTCAGTGACAAGCCACAGCCAGGATATGGCTTTGATTATACAGGTTTTTTAATTTAGTGTTAAAAATTAATGCTATTATAATACTATTATTAACATTATTCTTGAGCAGTAAGTTGCACACTTAAAAAATTTTATTGCACAGAAAAGGAGTTCCATGAGGAATTCGATAGATTACTTGATGTGCTGGGCGTTAAATCCCCTTTCTTTCTTGTTGTTCAGGTTTGGATGAGTTTTCTTTTTTTCTTTTTTTCCTGAATAGAAGCTATACAAGTCACTTGACAGATTTGTAGGACATACTAAATCTGCATTAGCATAGTACTTATGATTTAGAAATGTTGGAGCAAAATTATGTAACTAATGTGCACTTTTCATATTCTCCCCTAAAGGGATTTCTTGTAGGTTCATATGGACTGACTTGGGCACTGAAGAACCAGAGCAAGATATCAAAGATCGCAATTTTGAATAGTCCGTTGACGGTTTCATCTCCTGTTCCTGGACTATTTCAAAAGCTAAAGTTCTGTGATTTTTCTATTCCATTGGTTAAATGCTGATGATGCTCTATAATTTCATGATTAGATTTGCTATCTGCAAGCCTGGCATGTTTTGATGCTTGTTTCTTGGTTTACTTATAGTATATCCACTCTTTCGTTTGTTTTCATTGCTACCAACTTATTTTAGTTAATCCTTCTCCAGGATTCCTCTCTATGGAGAATTTACCTCCCAGAATGCTATTATGGCTGAGCGTTTTATTGAAGCAGGTAGCCCGTATGTATCCAAATTGTAACTTTCATATCTTAAAACTTCAAATTGGACCTATGGTTTTTAGTATAGCCATCTGTTTCCAATTGTACATAAGTGTCTTGAATATTGTTCCATAACTAATTCAACCAATAAAGAATAAGTTTACCAATTTCTGTCATTTTTCATTCTTGGACTTATGTTTGTCAATCATATCTCAATTTTAATCTAGTATTGATGTGGGTTCACGTCCATGAGAGGATGGGGATTCCTTTTACTTTTCACATTTGCATCCTGATATGCTCTGACCCATCTTCAGATATTAAAGAATCGGTGATATTTGGCTGTGCAAGTTCTGGAGTTCTTATCTATTGTCTGCACTTATACTTTCGCAGATATGTCTTGAAACTGGAAAAGGCTGATGTGTATCGATTACCATATTTGGCGAGTAGCGGACCAGGATTCGGTTTGTAGTTGATTCTTTTTTCAAATTTACAGAGATATATATTTTCTTTTTCATCGAGTCAACAGCTGAAAAATAAGCATATTCTGTTGACTTATCAGATGCATGTGGTTTTTTGCTGTTGTATTTGTTTATCACCACAAGTGCCTAGCGATTTTTCATCACAGTGGTTGTGAACTTGTGATGCTAAAAGGAGGGAATAAAATCACTTCTGTACTCATTAGCTGTTTGTGCATAATTCATAAATGAAACTAATTTCTTCATATTTTTTTTTTCTTTTGTTGTTTCAGCTCTCCTTGAGGCTGCAAGAAAGATTAATTTCAGAGATATTACAAGCCAAATTGCAGAAGGCTTCGTATCTGAAAGGTAAAATGTTATTAGATTGCACATCACATGAGTCTAAACAATGTTAGTTGAATTTCTTTATAATATAATAACCTCGTCCATTCTTTTGTGACTTGCTTTTCCATGAACTATAAATTAATGGATTCTGTACTTTCAGATGGGATAAACCGATACTTCTTGCTTGGGGAATAGCAGACAAATATTTGCCTCAATCTGTGGCAGAAGAGTTTCAGAAAGGAAATCCTGATGCTGTAAAATTGAAGTTGATAGAAGGTGCTGGCCATATGCCACAGGAAGACTGGTAATCATGCTAACCTGATTTCTATGCATAGCTTTTCCTTTTTTTTTTTTTTTTCTTTCATTTTTTGCTATTGTTTTCCTTTTTTCTTATGCCAAATTTAACCTGATTTGGACAGGCCTGAGAAAATTGTGGAAGCTCTGAGAGTATTCTTTTAAATTCGACACATGAATCAACAATGAAATAGTGCCAGCGGTAATTTTCAGCTGTTTGACTGAGGTAAGAAACTTAACTGCTCACTTTGGGGGACAAATTTTTTGGCTGATAACTTACATTTCTTTCTTTTCTGGTTCGTAAAAATCTGATGCAGATCATAGACAAGGGGATTCTGAAGCTTTAGCACAGGTGTGAGAGAGGAGAAGACAACTGCATATATTTTTATTTTTCTTTGTTCTTTTTTTTCCACCTTTATATATACGAACAGGGCTGTGGGAAGCATCTTGAATCGGACTTGCTGATGTTTTGTAGATTTTGTGCATAAGCTAACGCTGAAAAAAAAAAATCAACCGTTTGATGCACATCCATTCTTTTACTTAATATGCTACAACATAAAGTTGTTTGTATATCCAGTTAAATTTAAGTTGAGAGTGCTGATTCTTGAAGATCAGTCTATGCAAAAGAGAAGTGCGTCGTCTTAAAATAGAGCAATTTAATTAATGATAAGAGAAACGTGGACTGAGAATGAGAAGGTATTGATAATTGGGATAAACCATTTCCTTGGATTACTTTTATGCTAGTATGTGCATAGATGCTTCCGTTTCTGGCAGCATATTGTGAGCTCTTTACTTGCATTGCCGATGACCCAAAGAATGTGCAGTTCTTGTTGCTGATTAAATTGTATGATAGCAGCCGCGGTAATAGAGAGGACGAAGCATTATCCAGAGTGATTGTGCCGTAAAGCGTATGTAGGTGGCTATGATCCAGCATGAAATTCTTGGCTTCTATGCTGTATTCGCTGTATTCTCAAGGCGGCGGGGAAAAGAGAAAAGGAAAGAGGGAAAGATGCCAATTAGCTAAAAGTATCCTGCAGCTGGTAAAGTTCCATTTCCCAATTCTCTAGTTGTGGGTGATGACAGGAACTCCTACCAATGAGAGGCCCTAGTTGTTAATATCCTAGTTACAGGAACAGGCTGCAGCAATTTTCAGAGCTGATGCTAAACATAGAATGTGGAATTTTAGTAAAATGAGGTACTTTCTGCTTTCACAAGTCTACTTGGATTGAATCTACAAATTTACATCCCCTGAAACTTCTTTTCTTCCAAGTCACATCATATGACAGACTACAAACATGCAGAAGCCATAGGCATGAGCAAGAAGGCTAGCTTACCAGTAAAGACCCAAAAGTCGTTTATCAACAATTACAAAAATTGGATACGCCCACTTTGCATGCTACCAAAATATGGGCCGCGGGTAGGCACGGCTTCGCCAATATCTTAAAAGCAGTCTACGTCACTTCTTTGGCTTCTTACTGTTTTGATTGGCAACCTTCTTGTTGGTCACCTTTTTTTCTTTAGTTTGCTTCTTATTGGCCACTCTTTGTGGTTTCTTCTTTTGATTTTCCACATGAACATTGTCTTCTGCATCATCACCATCATCAGAAGCAGCACCATTGTCATCTTCATCATCACTTGCCTTGGACTTGAGTTTTGTTGGAGGCTTCTTGGCATGAGCTCTCGGCTTCACCTCGCTCTTTGTTTTAGCTTTTTCAGCAGCAGCTTCTTCCTCACTCGCTAGTTGATTTGCGTCATCTTCGCCTTCATCATTATGATCGATATCCTCAGATTTCCGCTTTGCTGGAGGCTTCTTGGCATGACCTCTAGGCTTCAGTTCTCTCTTTGTTTTGGCCTTTTTAGCAGTATCTTCTTCCTCGCTTGCTGTTCCATTTGCAGCATCTTCACCTTCATCATCATCCTTGGCCTTTTTCCTTTTTGAAGTTTGTCTTTTTTGTTTATCTGCTGCTTTTGCAACTTGGCCTCCACTCAGCTTTTGCAATTCTGGTACATAGGCTGTTGTCTAAAACCAAAAATACAAGCCCATAGAACAAACTGCTATTTGTTTTGTGCCAACCCAGTGCTTATGCATACTAAGGTTCATGATAAGATAAAAAGAAATTACTAAACATTTTGGAATGACATACCCTTCCACCAACAGTGATAAAATCAATTTTCTTCCCTGAATAACAAAAAAAAAAAAAGAAAAAAAAAGTCAATGTTAGTATGCAGTCCAATCAAACAACATTCTAGGAAATATAATCAGACTCGTGAGTGATGCCAGAATTGACATCTAACAATCATGTCTGCGCCACTCTTACAACAGAAAGCAATAAGTATACAGAGGAAAAAGAGAGGACGGCAATGTGAGATATCATATAGGTCAGGAGCCAAACCATCAACAAAAGCCTTCCCAGGCTTCTTTTCGCGAGAATGGAAAATCCAATTATTGGGAAACTGATTACTATCTGCCCCAACTTCTATTGCTTTTTCAATAACCTGTGAAAACAATTGTTTTGTCAAGTTGATCTCTCATATCAAAAGTATCTTACCATTAACTTTTCCAGGTTTTTTGCCCCATCGTAAATGAAACAACCATTCAATAGGAAAGTGGCTGCATTCAGCATCAACTTGAACCGCATATTGAATAACCTACAGATATTGTCTTCTACTTTTCCATGAAAATTGCATGTTTTCAAAATAAATATTTTACAACTGCCAATAATTGTCTGGATGGATCGTAGAGCGCTTTTTCCTACCTCCCTGATGCACTTGCATAATGTTGCACAATTTTCTCTGGACAAGCTGGAAGCAACTTGCAGAGGATGAATTCTAGCCTGCAACAATGCAACAAGTACATAATAATCAAACACTAATATTTGACTTGGACAATAGCAACGAGATAAGAGGCCATTTACACAATGAATAGATTTTTACGTAGAAAATGAAGTATCTCAATAAAAACCAAATATGGACTGCACAGAACCATAAAACTCCATCTAATAATGGTTTAGCATATGCATACTCTATTATATTATTGGCAATGATGTTACTTCTCATATAGTATTTTAGCCTGATTTACTTTCCACAATTAACCAGCCAAGCAACTGTTTGCTAGCATACCTGGTGCTCTTTGGTAACAATGAACAGGCCATGATAGGGAATATCAACTCATTCATTACTCTATTGCTAGCACCTTAACCTCCTAAAATTGTGTGAATTTTATTTACATTTTGGTTTAGGCGCTCATCTGTTTCAGATACTTTGTTTCATTTGCACATATTTTACTAGCTATCATCCTTCAGAAGCCCTGTAACTCCTAAGGAGAACTCATTTGATTATAATATATAATAGTTAAAACAGCAGAACAAGTGAGCATAAGGTTTTACCTAGATCTATCTAAATCGAAAGCCTCAAGATTGATGGCAAAATTATGTGCTGAGATTGAATTTATAACTTTGATCAAATAATAAAATTAGCATTGGTATGGAAGTACACTAACTTGGTATAGCACTTCATCTGCAATCCAGTTGCCAATACCAGAAATAAAACTCTGTAGACATAAACAATAAGTTAGATTCTTACCCCAAATTATATTTTTAGGGCATTTGAAATGGGCATTGAAAATTAAAATTTCTTCTTTATGGATTTTGAATGTACTACAACAAGAACTTAACAGAAAAATCTATAGTTCTTTAACTTCGAAACGTGTATCCCAAGTTACCAACTGCAGAAATCTCATTATGACTGCTTCTTGTTATGCAAATGTGGTTATGACTTTTTTATTTAGAGTTTTTTTCTTCTTACTCTTCTAGCCATTTCTCTTCCAGGCAAATGGTTAAATTTCAAATGAAAAGGAATTCCAAACTATGCAGTTTAAGGTTTTGGTCTATTGTTAACCCTTTGCTACAGTTGTCAGCCGCCTCGTTTGATTATCATGGAAATGATAAAGAAAATAAGCGTTTTTAACCTGATCGAGTAAAAGAGCCTTAATTGCAATCTTCTTCTTGCTTAAGGATTCATAAAATTCATCAACTGTCATTGGCTCCAATAATGCATCAGGGCCGAGCTCAGAAATTGGAGGTACAGAAGCTGGCTGCAACACATAAAACAAAATAAATAAACATAATAAAAAAAATCAACAAGTTCACCAAGTCAGATAAGCACCGAAATATGTGGAATAGCAAAAGGTAGTTACATCTTTGAGCAAGCGGACTTTAGCAAATCGCCTCTTATCAGTGAAAGAAAGCTCTAGGCCATCATCTAGCTGCATATTACATCTTGGTTAAATGATAGGGGCTGAGCAACTTCAAATGATAAAAGTATATTTCACACCACTTCTTGGTTTATGTTCATATAGCATATCTACAAAACTAAAATCCAGCACATTAATTTCCAAAATAAATGACAGCATCATACCATTCATCTATAAAAGAGCAGATTTTAATACATATCTGAAACACTAACCTAGCATGTAATGGGTCTCAGATTTAATCCAATGAGTTCCCAAGCATTCAATCAAACCAAATTTAAAATGCTCATAACAAAATCCTAGTAATTCTCCTAAACATAAGCGAATAAACCTGCCAATTCTGACACTAAATTACACTGTCAAAAGGCATCACTCCCATGAACCGCATACAAATAATAGACTACTTATCAAACAGAAACACAATATTATTCATGAAAATGATTAAATTCTTACTTCAATAAATAGCTTTGAATATTTGGATGGCCACTCATCAGTGTCATTCACAGCAGACCTGTAATCAGTACTCTACTACAATTAACAACTGAAGATCATGCCATAAGCAGGAAACATTATAATAAAACAACCTATATCATTTTAAGTGAGATGTTCCAAGTCATTAAAGTCAAATGATCCCCTAATTTCCATTCCATTAGAATCACTGTCATATTAGTGACATGACATGATTGAGAAGTTAATTAAAATAATAGTAGTGTGATAAATGATTTAACCTTGTTCAAATAATTAAAATTAAGATCTTATAATATATAATATATTAATTGAACAAGAAGCTAACCCAATCTTGGTCCTGTGCTCTTGCAATGAATAAAAGAAGTATGCACATTCAGTTTACTTTTATAGAAAATAACAAACAAATACCAGCAAAAAATTTAAAAGACAGAAATAATGGTCTCTCTATTTTCCATTCCCCGTTTTCTTTTCAGATAACTTGTTTGATTCCTTGAGACCTAAAACTTTCCTTTTCTGTCTTCAGTCTCCTATTTCAAGAAGCCACTTAAACATGCTACAAGCAGAAAGATTGGTGCCAAACACAATAATGTTTATACTAGTTGCCATTCCATTTTGAATTACTTAAATCCATGCAAAAACACATCACTGGGAAGGTAAAATTCATTTAAACATCTCAGTTGAGCTTGTATATTATTTCCTTCAACATTTAAAAAATAAAAAACATTTTTTGCATATACAAACATTGCAAGAACCACCAGTCCTGGGAACTGCAGATAATGAATCACCTCTTATATTTGGTAACAGCAACTCCCTTAATATATATAGCACCAGCCATACCTGAAAAATAAATTTTACTTATAAGAAATAGGGCTACCAGAAATACCTCTCTTGATTCATAAGTTGCTCAAAATGTCAAAGAAAGGTGAAAAGTTTGAACTTCCACTTTAAAAAAAAAAAAAATTAGATATGGTTCTGAAAGAATTAATATACAGTAAACAGAAAAAGTCAATTTTCCATCGTAGTTTCGTTTATTCCACAAGTACTACTCAGCTAAAGACAACCTTCGCTATCCTATTAGCTCTTCCCTTTGCATGTTGCAACAAAATTGAAGCTTTACTAAAAAAATTAAAGCCCAAACGCTCTGAAAACCAAACCCTAAGTTTCTCTCTTTTATTTTGCTCTAAAAAACAGAAAAAAGTATTCAGCAGTAATTTCAATATCCTTAATATTCCTAGGCTGTAAAAACATACCAAACTGAAATGAAGGGAAAGGAGGGGAATCGAGCTGAAACCAGAGATTCTTCCCCTTGCGAAGAGCAGCAATTAAGGTTTTGCCCACTAGTGCAGCCTCGAAATCAGAAGGAGAGACACCGTCGATGACTTTAGGGTCATTTGCTATAATAGCCTTCTTAATCTTCTTGCCTAAGCAGTGATCATCTATGGCCCTTCTCGCCGCCTCCACCTCCGGTAGCTCTGGCATTGTCAGTAGTTTCGTAAACCGTTTCTGCAAGTGATAGATTAAAGTGAAGCGTAGTGGGACTTATGTTCTCGGAGACCCTTGTTATAGGCAGTTGTATTTCTTGTGTGTTCAGTCTAATCTGACATAATGTTGGTTCTGAATCGGACCCAAACCAAGCATCTGTTAATTAAAAACAATTTAATCCGACTTAATTGTTTCCGTTTGCTTTTTTTTTTTTTTTTTGAAAAAAAAAAAATTTTTTTGCATATACCAAACATTGCGGGAAGAGCCCACCATTCCTTGGGAACCTTGCAGATAATGAATCAACACGTCTTATATTTTCTGGTGAACAGCAACTCGCCCATTAATATATAATGTCATCGCCAGCAGTATCCTGGCAATAATTTTACTTATAGAGAGTATCAGGCAGCATACCAGAAGGCAAATATACCTCGTTGAATTCATAAGTTGAGCTCAATAAAATAAGTCAAAGACAGGTTGAAAAGTCATGCAAACCTTCACTTTAAAAAAAAAAAATATAAATTTAGTAATTATGGTTAGGTGAATTAGATACCTATACTGTATAGCAAACATGTCATAAGTTTCTACCATCGATCAGTTATATACGTGTCTATTCCACAGTCTAGTATCTTCGTCAGCCTAAATGACAACCTGTCGCTCTTCCTTCCCGTATCCTATTTGCTCTTACCTTTTGGAATACAGCATTGGTGTAGCCCGACTGTTTGCAACAGGAATTGAAGCTTTACTAAAAAATCTGAAGCTAGACTCCACATATACGCTCCTCTGTAACCCAAACCTAAGTTCTTCTCGGTATTTATTAGTGTGCTCATCACTCTATAACAACAGAAAAAAGTATTCGCACGCAGTAAGTTTTCATATCCTTAAATGTTATTCTAGGCTGGTAAAATACATACCCAAACTGAAATGAGGGAAAGGAGGGGAATCGAGCTGAAAACCAGAGATTCTTCCCCTTGCGAAGAGTCGGGAGCAATTAAGGTTCTGGCCCACTAGTGCAGGCCTCGAAATCAGAAGAGAGAGACAGACCGTCCGATGACTTAGCTTACGGGTTGACTCTCTCAGAGCACATATATAATAAGCCTTCATTAAATCTTCTTGCCATTAAGCAGTGATCATCATATGGCCCTTCTCGCCGCCTCCACGCTCCGGGTAGCTCTGGCGATACTTTGTCTATGTAGTTTGCTAAACTCCGTTTCTCTGCATTAGTTCGATAGATTAAAGTGAAGCGTAGTGGACTTCATGTTCTCTGGAGAACTCGCTTGTTAGTAGGCAGTTGTATTTCTTGTGTGTTCGTCTTTAATCTTGACATTAATGTTTGGTTGTGAATTTTACGGCAACCCCAACTCTTAGCATGTTGAGCTGTGTTAATTAAAAACAATTTAATTCCCGACCTTAATTTGTTTCCGTTTCTTTCTCTCTTTTTTTTTTTGTTAGTAAAAAAAAATAAATATCTATAATTACTAGTAATCTCGCCAAGGCTAGAGTTCCACGCGCGGATGCTGCCCTTCTTCTCTATCAAAGAGATCTCTCTAGACGAATGTTACACTCATCAGGTACAACTAGGACAACATCAGAAGACAACAGGTCCTAGCACAGATATCGTAATAAATAAGAGCGCCCCGAAGACACGTGTCGCTAGAAGATTAAACATTGGTATTAAACAAGTCGATAATCACCTCTTCCTCGTTCCATAGACTATAGACGTTAGTGATGGTTTTGAATTTTACGGGAATTATGTATATTAGAAATTTTTTTTTTTTTTTTTGAAAAAAAAAAAAATACTATATGTTAATCAGTGGTCCAGGGGATGCTGCCCTCTTCTTACAAAGAGATCATAAGATTACACTCATCAGGTCACGACAGCAGAGACCGGTCTAAGACAGATTTCTAAATAAATAACGAAACACTGTCGTAGAAGATTAAACATGGATTAAACAAGTCGATAATCAATATTTTTACCATCAGACTATCACCTTGGGTGGTTTTGAATTTACATTATGTATATAGAATGTGTGGACATGTATATGGAGAATATAGTTTAATTTAAAAACAATTTTTAAGATTTATTTTCACCTTTAAAACTTATTTCTGTCATATATTATTCATCTGTCAATAAATTATGTCATATTCAATAATGATTTTCCATATTCATATAGCTTCCATTCAAAACACTGTTTTTATTATTTAAAAAGTAATTGTAAAATTTCTAATTAGAAAAATATACAAGTCAAATGAACACGGTGAAATTAACTTACATCTTAATTGGAGAAATATGATAAGATAAAATTTATAACTTAATTTGAAAAGTGTGATAATATAAAGTTTACAATAAAATTTAAATGAAATAAAGTCAAATTAAAATTGGCGTTTGGATTTTCAAGGCCACTCTTACATGAGCACCATAATATGAAAAAAAAAAATGTAAAAATAAAAGAATTATTAACAACTCGTATATATTTAGTTATGGGATGATTGAAAATTAAAATTTAAAATTTTCAATTGATACAAAATTTACATGCATGAATTTTATCTCTAATAGAAAATGTAATCTTTTGCTCTTAGGATTGTGAATTTTAATGTCATGTGTGGAGTTTATAAAGAATAAGATTGACTTATAATTAATTAGGGATTTTACAACGCTACTAAAACAGCTAAGGCTACAAAAATAGATAATTTTACTAAACAGATTACTACTAGATAGTATTTATACCAGTGTTTAGAATTTGTGGGAGCAAATTATGAAAGGTGAATATTTAAATGTTACTCGGTTTAATGGAACGCTAGTTAAACAGTTGACAGCTACTAAAATATCTGATAGTTAGTGAAACAGTTAATTTTGGCGAATTGATCACATTCGTGAAAGTACCATGTCCACAAATAAGTGTCATATTTGTGGATTTTATAAATAATAATTTTTTTTCTCATTTTTACCCTTAGCAATTAATGAACACTAATCGCTATAATTCTCGAAAATCTCTCTTTATTGTAAATAAAAATAATATAGTTAATTTACTCGATAATTTATTATAAATTAGATAAATTTTCTTACTATAATTTTCCTTATTTATGGCAATGCCGTCATAGTATCTTTAACGATTGCAACTTCACAGGTTCCTTTTGGTAGCTCAAAAAGATTACCAGAAATGATAAGTTCCTCGAGAAATGTCAACATGGCAATTTCTAGTGGAAGGTTCTTGAGGCTTTTGCAACCTTTTAAATTCAGTATTATAAGCTTCTGTAGGTTTCCAATGGATTCATCAATATCAACCAAGCTTATACAATCTTTAAGCACCAGTTTCTCGAGATTAGGAAGTCCTCTAAAGTTGGGGGTTCTAACAAGGCCATGAGAATGGCTTGGTTAAGTATTTCCAACTCTACTAGAAACTGTTTAAAAGAAAAAAAAAATAGTAGGCCTACTTCACTGCATATCATTATTCCAAATATAGATAGACATACAAAGAGTTCATCGTTATAAACTTGACTGGATTAATTCAGCTGCGAAGAGCACTTGTGGGGTTAATTACTATGTTTTAGGTCATGAGTTCGATCTTCCGCGGTGCAAAGTCTCTAAGCCAATCCCATAGGTCCACGGACTCTTAAAAAAGACACGGGTTTAGAAGAGTTCATTGTCTTGAGCAATTTCACCATTTTTTGAAATAGCTTAGTAGGAAAAGAACTAATTGTTCTATTGCTTTCTGCTTGCCAAGACGACACACCTTTGAATAATTTTTCTTCATCAAGCATCATCAATTTGCGATTTCTGTCAATGCTGGTACGTTGAGGCTAAGTCCTCTAATTGATTTTGTGCCCTGCGCAGTAATAAATACAGAAAGGAAAATTATATTGAGACTTGAATTATAAGCTTTGCACAAATGCATAGATGTTTGAATAATCTTTTCATTCATCAAGCATCATCAATTTTGCGATTTTGTCAATGCATGGTACGGTTTTGAGGCTAAGTCCTTCTAATTGATTTTTTGCCCTTGGCGCCAGTAATAAATACCAGAAAGGAAAATTATATTGAGACTTGGAATTGTTCTATTGCTTTCTGCTTGCCAAGACGACACACCTTTGAATAATTTTTCTTCATCAAGCATCATCAATTTGCGATTTCTGTCAATGCTGGTACGTTGAGGCTAAGTCCTCTAATTGATTTTGTGCCCTGCGCAGTAATAAATACAGAAAGGAAAATTATATTGAGACTTGAATTATAAGCTTTGCACAAATGCATAGATGATAAAATTATCTTCTTACTGTATTTTGTAGCAATACATTAGTTGCATCCACAGTATCCCAAAGTCTGCTACGTTTTCATCAGGTGATTCTTGGTGAACAACTTCCTGTCCCATGTCTCTAAGTAATTGATCCATCAACTTGTTTTCTTCACTGATAGTTACCAGACATCTATTATTGAGATTTTGAATGCCAACAAGCTAATTCTACTGAAAAAACGAGCTATGTCAAGAAATAAGCTTTTGTCGTGATCATCCCAAAGAGCTTATTCTAAGAATATGCTGAATTTTACTATCTTGCAACTTTTTCCAGCTTCTGGAATGCACTTTCCCATACTGATATACTTTTCCCAGATAAACAAGAACTCAAAACTCGAAGAGCTAATGGAAGTCCACCGCAATAATTCACTACATTTTCAGAATACTTTAGGAAACCATTTGCAGGATGCTCCAATTCTTTAACTCCAAACTTCAAAACAAGACGTTCATCCCTTGTTGTTATTATAATTTTGCTTCCTGGATAAAATCATTCTTGCATACCAATTACCGCATTAAACTGATCTGCATCATCCACATCATCTACAAATTAGAAGTTTTTTTTTGCGACAGAAAGCATTCTTGATCACAATAATTTCTTGATCAACATTTTACATTCTGCTCGTTTTTTCCTTTTACAATATCAGAAAGAAGTTGCTTCTGCAGTCGAACTAGACCATTAGGTTGTTCTGAAATTTCTCTAACATTTGCAAGAAAGCTTCTTGCTTCAAATCTGTTGAAGTTGAGATTATAAACTATTTGAAAATTGTTGTTTTACCAATGCCACCAATCCCATATATTGCAGATATTTCAACATCATTTGATCCATCTTTCAATCACTGGTTAATGTATGCTATGTG